GATATTTTAGAGATGAATAACAATATTTATATTGAGGTATGCCTTACAGCTAAGAAGCAAAGAATGTGGATGTTTTGAAATCATACCAGCTTGAATATGACTGCAGATATGTTCAGTGTATTAGAGCCTCACGCAAGCTTGATTCTGAAGGCTAATTTTCATAATGAATGGAAACTTGAGGTTGCAGTGACTGTGAAGGGAAAAATACCAACAAGTCCAAAGACAAGTATATGCTGCTATGTGTGAACATTATTACTGATGAGTAGTGTAAAGTTTTTGCTCATTGTATTAGTCGGCCTTAAAGGATACAGTGGGCCTTTAAGAATGGACGTGAAATTGGCCAGAAGTGTGGAAACTCCCACTCTGCCCCATAAACCTGAACACAGCTGATAAGAGATTGTTGTTATCAGGCAGAAGGATTCATAGCAGAACAGTTATACATGTTCTCCAATTATTAACCAACTCAGTCTTTGCCGAGAGATATTCTCCTCATTTACCACATAAAACAAAAGACTTTCTGAACTGTAAACCACTGGACTCCTTTGAGATCACCGTGCTTCTCTTGTTAATGAATTAAAGGCAAAAGAGAAACCCAGAATAGTTGTAGGGCAAATGAAGGAAATACGTCCTCTTATGCAAAGGAGAGGGTTTTAACCTTAGCCCTGTTTATGGGGCTGAAGTGATAACGTTAAACCTTTCCTGAAGTCTGGTGAGAGTCGAGACAGGAGAGTTCTTGCTTTTGGCAGGGACTCGTTTTAAGTCGATTGCATTTTTAAAGCTCTTTCAAAGTTGGTCAACTTAAAAATATGTACATTCTGTGCATTTCCAAGTAGCTGGTATTCTCTGTAAATGTTCTTTGATGAGAGCCCTAACCTTTCTCTTCATGCCTTCATGAAAAGAGCATATGGAGAGTTTGCTTGTGTTTGTATCAGCGTACAGATGCTGACAGGAAGACAGATCAACATCAGTCCAGTAAGGGGACATGACCAAGGGCACCCAAAGGTGACAGCTGCCAGCACCCCGGCACTACAGAACCTGTTTGTGTCCCATCGTGAAAGGAGCTCTCAGTCAGAAGGAAACAGAGAGTCTGTTTTTGTTTTCACTTTTTTTTTCTCCCCCTCAGTAAATACCCAAGACTTTCGTTTCACCAGGTGCTCAGATTCCACTGATGACAGGGCAGTTTACCGGCGATGAATGGCGGCCATCTATCCTAGCCCTGCAGGAAACACGCTCTAACAGTAATACGCACATACAAATGTACACACAGAGACATGTGCATATAGCAATATGCAAAAAAGGCACGGAACGCCGCTCACGCCAGTCTTTAGTACTTTGTTTCGTCCTCTCAAACACAAGGAGTATGCTTATTCGTTATACAATGACTTTTTTGAGTTTGTTTGGCGAGGATTAGAAAAGAATCACAATGAATAATAAGTTAAGAATAAGCCAACAGAAAATCAGAACCCACGTACACGACACAAATAATACTCCCATTTATTCCCCGCCCTCAGGTTTATGTTCTTGTCATGTTTATAGTACTAATCACTGCATCGAGGCTGTTTGGAATGCATGATAGGCATTTCTATTGTAAACCACTTCAGCGACTGGTGCATTTGGCCAAAACTCGTTTTCACTGTAAAATCAGTTTTGCTCATTTTGAATTCATCATAGATTTAGTTTTCCCTTCTTAATTGTGCCTCTTTAATTCATGCATTTGCCTATTGTTTCTGTTGTTAATTGTTACCCACCATCAGTAAAAACAGGGATGCGCCTTTTAAGTAAATTGAATTGCACGTAGTAGAAATTTTCATGCAGCATACACACATTCCTCAAGTTCAAGTGCACACAGACCAATAACCACCCAAGGTTTGTGTGTGCAAATACATCAACAGCTTATTAGCAGAGTGTGTGTGTGTTGGTGTGATGATGGGGCTGGCACTGGAAGCAGCGCTGCAGAATAAGCGCATTGAAACAAGCCCGCTCTGCTCTTTTGTTCGGTTGCAGGACACGACCTCCAACGCATCAGCACCTCATTAGGTCATTTGTCCCAAATGGCTCGTTTCAGAGCGGGATTTTACTGCGAGCTGTGGATTTGTGATCTCCCACGGAAGGGGCGTAGTTCATGGAATTCACTCTCCCACCGATCGGGTCGAGATCAGTTAAAATAATTCTTGTCTTCCATTCTCGAATCACCCCAAAAAGCACTATAACTGGTGCTGAAATAACACGTTTTTGGTCAGTGAACATTATGTTTCAGTGACTGGCAGAGCGCAGTATTTGGTTTGAGTTTGTGAGTTTATTCTGGAGTTTGGAAATCTTTACAAACAATCTCTTTGAATCTAATCAGATGTCCCCGTTAGATTAGCTGCACTCATTCAGACATAACTATCACTTTCAGAATTAATCATCACTTTTACCGCTCACGTGGCTTTCTCTCCGTCTCTTCTCCGGACCTTTGTTCTTCCTGATTCCCCCCACCCCCACCTCTCTTTTTAACCTGGTCGCTCCTCCCTCCCATCATCCTGGGTGTATATCTGTCGTCACTGTGCGGATCAGATTTGTCTGGCAGGTCTATTTTTACCTGACAGTGTTTAGGTTTCACTGCACCTTTCTCATGCCTTCAGCCTTTGTTTTGGTTTAGCTGTGAGTGCTTTCTCCCCTTTTTTTTTCTCCCTCCTCCTCTTCTTCGTGCATCAGACTGTCGGCCACACCCATGGAGCCAACTCTCTACCTGTTTGTGTGTGTTAGCATGCTCGTGTGAACTTTAATTTGTCAGTAAGTTGGTGTGCATGAACAGTATGAAATTCTGCATGCATATGTACAGCATATAAATAGCCTGCATTAAACGGCTTTGTGCATTTATGATCGTAGACACAGTGTGTGGCTTCTGCAGTCTAGATCCTTTTTTTGTTTGACAGCTTGTGCACCTCTGAAGGAGCAATAGTCCACATGTAGACTTTAAATGAGAAACGGTGCCAAGGTGCACTTTGGATGAAAATCAAATGTTTTCCACTTAATCAGAAGAAAATATCTGCAGTTTTATTTTCTTCTTCACTCTGTCTGTTTCATCCTGTCACCTGAAAATGGTTCTTTTGTGCTCCAGCAGACATTCTGGTAGTTGTAATGATAAATGCTACCTGTTGCATTGAAAACCTGTGTAGCAGACACCCATACAGTGTCTCACTTTTACAATTTTCTTGGCCTCCTCCAACTTTCAAGCCTTTTTTTTTAATGTAGACCTCACCATCTTTAAATTAGCGAGAGGAGTACAAATAAAAAATACAGTCATAGAGATGTAAGTACTGTGGATCAAAATTAATGAGGTATAAGGTGAAAAATGGGTTTTATAACCTTCCTTGTGCAACTTTTAGTGAGTGAATTGCTAAAGTGGGATGCCTTCTATATGCATCACTGTGAGATATCTGAGAAATCACAAGTTCCTTGAAAAAGAAACTTGTTAGGAACAAGAACGCTGCGCAGCTGGGGATCCCGTCACTACACGGAACCAGATAATCACATCTTATTTACACAGAGCTAATTAGCTACTAGTTATATAATAGGGAGTTATTAACAAACTAATTATCAAATATAAAACCTTCCTTACATGCAAAGCCATTAATGATCTGCCTTCTCATCTTACCATTTTTGATCCAGTAGAGTTCTTTACTCCTATAGTTAGAACTAGATTATATGGCCTGGAACCTTCTCTTTATTTATGCTGCTATACGTCCATCGGGGCCTCCCATGATGCAGTGCATCTCTTCTGTTTCCTTTTAATTTCCAGGTATTTGCCTGGCACTGTTGCACGTCATTAGTTTTGTCTTCTCTTTCAGTAGCCTGGGCTTTTTCATCTCTGTCTTCTTTCATTCTGTACATCAGGTCTACGATTACAGGCCCCGCCAGCCTGTCCATTGTTGGTATTGTTTGTTGTTTCTCAATAATTTTTTTTTTTTGCTTTTCCCTCTCTCCCAACCGGTTGCAGCAGATGGTCGCCCTCTCTAAATGTGATTCTATTGGACGTTTCTCTGTCTAGTGCTCGGTCACGGGGAAGTTGTCAGATTTGCTTCTTTAAGATGACAAGACTTGAACAGACTATGTAAAGTGACCCTAGATTACTTATGTGCTTGGTCTGCCACTGTGTAAATGAAACTTAACTGAAGGTTTGAATCTATTTGCATTTTTTTTTTCCTTACAATTTTTTTATGGAATTCTACCTGCGTTGCTCTCGCTGTTGGCTGTTTGCATCTTCTTCTCTTTATCCCAATGGAATGAAAATGTAAAACACGTCCCTTCCTTTGTCCCAATGGATTTTTACTGGCAAAAGCCTGCTGCGCAGTGAAAGCAAAGGGGCAAGGCTTTCAGCTTTCAGCAGGGAAGCATTTGTTTTTAAATGTGTATCACCTGTAAGAGTGTATGCATGTTTATATGACAGTGTCCAGGATTATTGCTGCAGCTGCATAATTGTCAGTGAATGATCATTCAAGCACATAGCAGGTGTGATGCACTCTAAAGGCCTGGAGGCTACAGTATTATAAGGTTTACTTGTAGGTGAATTCCCTTTTTAGCTATCTGCCCCAACTGTCAATTGTGGCTGCTTGTCAGGACATTGAGCTTCAGTAGGAAACAGGAATGTGAGCTATGACGCAAGGAGGATGCTGGGAGAAACAGCATCCTCCAACCATGCTGTGTTTCCTTTTTCATGGAATGGGTGTAACTTTCTGCATCCACGTTCACCAAATAATCTCTTAAAGCGCTGATCAGATTAGGACTCAAAAGCACATGAAAAGAGTCCAAAACTGTGAACATGGAAGTCTGTCGTAGATGGATGGGATCTGTGAGTTTTAACAGCAACAGTCATGTGCAAATCTCAGCTTATGATGTATTGTTATTTAAAGGGTGTGGTAGGATGTTTGTGAAATAACTGTGTGAATGTTTTTTCCCCTAGTTTCAGTACACATTTGAAGTATTTCTGTTAACTTTGCGTCTCTTTTCTTTTTCAGATTCAACTCGAATTAGACAAATACCTTCCCCAGCACAGCAGTCCTCTACTGAGTACCCCGAATGACACTACCGACAAGAAGTACAGACGAGAGAGCGCCTCCGTGGTGGACGAGTACTTCGCAGAGGACAAACCTGCCACCCCATACAGCCTCAACATCAACGTCATCCTTCCCAGCACCACTCACCTCCGCACAGGCCTCTACAGGCCCAACACCAAGACCCTCACACCACAGCAGATCAAGACGGAACCCGGGATGGAGGTGCCCTGCTCCATCCCAACCAGCCAGGCCCTTCCAGACTTCACCTCGGTGTTCAGCGTACCGCCTGTAGTCAACAACGTTTTCATAAAACCGGACATGAGCGCTGGAGGAATGGTGAACGTGACCACAGGATCTCAGCAGCAGCAGCAGCCAAACTTGGTCACAGAGCTTCACATCGGACCTCCACCTCCACAGCCGCAGGTCTACCACATGCCCATCGCGAGCAGTGGCGACCTCACCATGACCCTATCGCACAACAGTCCCTCACCGCACGGCTCCAGCAGCGGCAGGACCATGCTGAACCTCAGCAACGCCACATTGCCGACGACCAACGGCAACTACATGATGGCAGAGCACCAACTGCCACATCATCATCCCAGCTACTACCAGCACTCTCCAAACAACTCATCCCAGCACACAGCGCCACACAGCCTACCGCCTTCGCCACCAAATTCCCAGCCCGGAAGCCCAGACGGCCAGGCAGAGCTGCTGAGCCTAGCACCCCAGGGTCCACCCCCTTACCAGCAGCGTATGGGAGGAATAAAGCTAGCGGGGATGTCTCATCATGCCATGCTGATGACACACGGCCAGGGTGTCTTAACAGGTCCAAAATACAATAGGCGAAACAACCCAGAGCTGGAGAAGAGGAGGATTCACTTCTGCGACTACCCAGGTGGGTGGTCTGTTTCCATATCACTATAAACTATGGTTTACAACTGAAGTTTCTCCATTAGAAAGTAAACCCACGTAGCTGGTTTTAACAACGATTCTCTGAAATGAAAATAAAAATATGAGCCGATGTGAAATGAAACTACGTTATCTGACTTCACTTTCATTTGCATGTCCTATTGTCTGGACCGGTATGTACCATTGTGATGTTCAAGGCAAAACTGTTTCCAAAATCAACATGAACAAGTCAAACCTTGCAGCTTACCAGGATGTACGCAACACATTGATCTTTGTGCCTCACCGCATGCCCCCAAAGCCCAGTCAGGGGCAGCTTTTGTCTCGCTGTACTGGGATCTTACTGGTGACATCACCTGAAAGCGCGAAAAGTGGTACACTTTGCCGGCTCAGGGCAGTCGGTGCTTCACTTACAATCTTTTCTAAATTACCAATGGGACACACAAAGCATGGTTCAGTCAATCCCATATCTGCACACATGAACTAGTCCAATTCCCAGTGTCACTGAATGTAAATAAACTCTATACCCAAAGCAACACACATGCAAATCTTTCGGCAATGCACGGCTCTGACCTGCAAACGAAATCCTCACAGTCATTAATACTGTGAGAGAAAATGTGCAAAAACCAGGCTGAAAGCAAACTTTGCATCAGTTACTTTACTCTTCGTTTTATAAATAATACATATTATCGTTGTTCCTTTAACTGTTCATTGCAGTAAAGACTACAACCTGTTGCTATTCAACTAAATTTGCAGTTAAATTAGAAGCAAGATGTTGCATTATGTTATCCAAACAGTGTACTTTTAATATGTTATGAGTAAGTAAACACCTAATGATTCATGTTGAAGACAGATTTTGTGCTGTGTCCTCCTGTCAGCTGTCCTCCTGGCTTATGATCCTCTGTTATTTCCTCACAGGCTGCACCAAAGTTTACACAAAGAGCTCCCATCTGAAGGCACACCAAAGAACACACACAGGTAAGAAAATAATCTCCCCGAGGGCTGAAATACAGTCTTTGCTGTTATTTACAAATTTATACCAATTTTAATTTAGGATTGATTCACCAAACATTCAAAGGTTGGAAGTTAGTTTTTTAACTTTACACTGTAGGTGGTGAAGCAGCAGCATGCTGCAGTCATGCATCTTTGTCATCCTCTAAGTTCAGTTGCTTTAAGCTTATTTATTTGTGCTTTATGTCGGCGCCAGTTTCGATACACCCAGCAACAATAATAGAGATGATGTTGATGAAGAAGGTAAACGCAATGAAAAGAAAAGGCACAGAAGCAACATATTTGAGTTTTTGTTTTTTCTGCGCCGTGTTTATACATGTTCATACCTGTCTACGTAGCGTCCCCAGTGAAAGAGAACAAAGGGCCGAGGGAGGAGGGTAGGACGAAGAAAAGAAGGGTTAAAAAAAAAAAAAAGAGGAAAGACACGCAGTTAAATAAAGGCCAAACCAGTTACTCCTGCTTTTCAGTTCCTGAAAGGAAGGATGGAGGAGGAGGAAGGTAGGGGGTTCGGAGAACGGAGCAGGGGGGCGGAGGGGCTGGTTTCAATGTATTTCCCTTCTGTAAGATGAAACCTGTGAATTCCCAGAGGCCCCAGACCTGGATTTTGAAGATTTACTCATGCAATTAAAGCTGCAGAGCTCCTCCAGTGTGAAAATATTGACAGAGCGAAGCGTGAACACGTGAATGAACAGACAAATAGAAACAGATCTCTCTGCGGTCATAAATAGATAAGATGAAATTTTATGGATCCCAGTGGGGAAGTTGGGCTGTTGAAGCAGCAGGATGCAGCAGCACAAAAGACAAACGGGCTTCGAAACATGCAGTGAGAATGGTAAACAAAACAAGAGCAATTAAAGAGTACGCTGACAAGTGTGGACCTCAGTGGCTTCAGCCGCATGTTTCAGCGCCTGTTGTTTGTGAAAAGAAAACAAAGTAACCTTTACAGTATTTACTGTATCACTGGCTAAGCAGTATTTTTGGTTGTGGCTCCAAACCTGCAGTTTGTTACGATATCATGACCAAATGTAGACAAAATTCGGACACTTTTATTATGACCTACAATGTCGAATTTCATATTCTGCCCACGTGCGTTAGATCTGTGTCATGAGGTGTGACTTGCAGTGAATTTATGAGTTGGCACGTGCAGATACCTTTACAAAGCAGAACAAAGACGTTCACATGCCCACACACACCTCGCAGTGCAGGTCCCATCCTTATAATCATCTGGCAAGTCGATGCGGCTACTAAATGCGTCTTACTAGCAAACCGCAACTGGACGTAGGCTGAGTGCGTGATGGAGTCATGGGCATTCATTTCAAAGAGTGCGTCACGGTTAGCAGATCCCACAGCAGCAGACATGTCACTGACCAAGGATTCCTGGTTTACTTGTTTTGGTCAGTCCACGGTTCCCACCGCAAGGCTTTGCTTGCTGTCTGGCCAAACCAGGCTTGTTTGGTCTTGTTTTGCATTCAGTTGATGACTCATAAGTTGAGCATGTAAAAGAAACATTGCACCGACTGTTCTGAACTCCAGGAAATGTTTAAGGCAAATCAAAAGAAATTTACAAAGCTAATGCAAGTATTTGAGGCATATCATGACACAATACAGTATATGTGACACAAGGTTTAGTTATTTTATGTGTATTTCCGTAACAAATGTGATTTGCTGGATGGATAGTCGTTTTACATCGGCCTTAAAAATAGCTTGGCTTATCTATTGATTAGGCATCTGCATACTGTGCTTGTGGAGTGCCTCACAGCTGCGTTCTAGGCCCCCCTTTTATTCTCAGATTTATTTGGGTTGCTGAACTTAGTCACACACATGAATCGGTGCATAATATTGGACCTTAAATATAAACCAAACACTATAAAGTTGCCACTGATTTCACACTGACCTTTTTAAAGTTACATTACAGCATTAACCTTTCTATAATTGGTTCTGTTTGCCTGAGTTGAAGCAGTCCACACCTTTAACTCATAAAGAATGCTGTATGTAGTTTTCTTATCAAAGAAATTGAAAATAATCTATTTTCTAGAGAGATTATCGTTATTTTATTATTAATCTACACATAGTATCTTAACAGGACCTGCCAAGTTTAAACCCATGTTTACATTCTGTAGATCGATAGATAGATAGGACTGATAGGATTGCAGTGTTTGTTTACTCGGTGTGTAACTATGAACCAGTCACAAAATCAAAAGTGAGACATTTACCGAGAGTCGTGTCTCCCACCGTTTTATACCACCGAACCAGCAGCTACTCACGGTGTTCAATGGTGATAAACTGGCTGTTATTGATCCCGATTAACCCAAAAGTGTTTAATTGGGATGGCTCATTAACAACTACATAGTAATGTACGCCTGCATGACTGGTGTCAGTCTGTGCGTACAGGGTTTCCTGTGAGGTATTAACACATACGTTGCATCAACAGTCTGCCGGCACAGAACCTTTAATGTGGTGAAACATCATCCCTCATTTATGTCTGTTTCAGTTCACTGCCAGAGAGACAGGAGTTGTTTTTCTTAAGGCAATAGTATCAGGAAGTCCTTTGGGCGTGTGTGTGTGTGTGTGTGTGTGTGTGTGTGTACGTACAATACAATATTCTATAAGTCTTTCACAAAGCATTAGTCATGTTTTCCCAGGCTAACAGACTTGTGCTTTTGCAACTTACTGCTAACAAATCATTTGCTGTAGACTGCAGGTCCCCGGTCTGGGCTTGGGTTTAAATCTATATACACATAGGGTCCAACAATCTGGTGGCTCATTGAGCTTGAAATCCTCTTTAAGTAAAGATCTTTATGTTCAGATTCCCACCCACAGATTAAAGATTTGCATGTTAAGTGAAATGGAAACTTGAAATTGCTGTATTAGTCTGTCTAGTATGGTCTAATGTTCGTACACAGACCTTTTGGCTCCAGTTTACTTTTACATGTGACCAAATCTTTGGTTACTTTTCAGTCCCTCTGCAACAAAACTTTAAGGTACTTTAATAAGCTATAGTTACTTAGAGTTACTTTGTTACCCACTACAAAAAAGATAATAAGACAACTAAACTGAAGACTAATAATAACACATTTGCATAATAGGAAATAATAAAGGCCATTAACATCATCGAATGAGGTTATAATTCAATCATAGATATACATTTTTGGTTCGTTATATGTTATTTCTTTTGTTCCTTCCTTCCTTATTCCTAATAGCCATTACGTCTCAATCCTGGTGAGCTTACAGGCATTAACCTCTACATCATAAAGTTGCTTAAGGTTATATAATAATGTGTAATTAATAGTTAACTTTTTTCTTTTGCAGCTACAAGACTGCTAAACAATATATACCATAATATTGTGCTATAAGTGTGTATAAGCTTCTTATTCCCTATAATCTCATACTTATATAAAGATCTTAAAAGAAAGTGTTACCAAAAGGACAAAGAAACCCAAATTCATAACCACTGATTAGTCAGATATGTAGTAGCTGCTTTGGTGATATAATTATTCAAATAATGGAAGTTAGTAAATCTTGAGGTATAAAGTGCTGATGTACTAAACCAGGACATGAAGTAATAATATTTAGGAGTAAAGTGTAATGACTAATGTAACGTTAGGCTTACTTATGTTGAAGATTAGACTTGGAAATTGTATAATAGCTTAAGATATGACACTGCCATGATATATTGATGCTGTCACAATATATTAGAGTCAATCCCACAGGACACGTGACTGTTACATATCCCAAGAGGAAGCCCTAAAATATATTGTTATTACAATCTTTTCATAGATTACACCTTATGGAAAATAAGCAAAATATTTCCTCTAAAGTGCATTTAGTGTGTCATTTTTAATTTTATACAGAGGAAGGGTCGGGCTATGTAATCCACTACTGTGATCAACATTTAACAAGATGGAGCACATACAGGTCGCCCATTTGAATGAGGAAGAGGAAGAGCAGCTAAGCGGCCGTAGCCCAGGTGCCCTCTGTGGAGGCAATCGGCATGAACCCCCTGAGGGAGCATCTGATGTGAATATTGTTTAAGTGCATCGCTATCTGTGCTCATCGGCACGTCTGTGATAACAGTCTGCACCTCCCACTGGTTCGTGGGCGTAACCTTGACCGTGGCCTCAGCAGCCACTCCAGCTCTTCACATTGGCTTTTGCAGTTTTGTGTGTGTGTGTGTGTGTGTGTGTGTGTGTGTGTGTGTGTGTGTGTGTGTGTGTGTGTGTGTGTGTTTACATGTGTGTGTCTAAAGAGTAAAATACTATCAGTTTGATTAGGGAACCCTCCAGCCCTCTTTACAAACACAGAGTGAGCTGATAAAGCCAAGAGGTCCACAAAGAGTTTATTGGCGTCCTGAAGAGCCTGAAAATGTTTGCTCTTTGACTCAGTAAAGCCAGGTAGAGGTGGTTATAAAATGTTATTATTACACTTCTGGTATATTCTACTTGAGTGTGCATTGCCATGACATTAAGCAGAAGGTATAGAAATGCATTAGGTTAGAAAATCTGTTGTTGTTTTTTTATGGACAAAAACAACTTGGAAAAATCAGTTTTGTGCACAAGTTAAAACCCAGATTGTCATGATTCTGAATGTGTGTGTTTCATGCATTCATTAATATATGGTAAATGGCCTGCATTTGTATAGCGCTTTACTCAGTCACTAAGGACCCCAAAGCGCTTTACACTACATTCGGTCATTCACACATTCACACACTGGCGATAGCAAGCTACATTGTAGCCACAGCTGCCCTGGGGCACACTGACAGAGGCGAGGCTGCCGGGCCCTCTGACCACCACCAGTAGGCAACATGCCCAAAGATATTTGGCATGCAGCCAGGAGGCAGCCTGGGATCGAACCACCGACCTTCTGATTAGTGGCTGACCTGCTCTGCCACCTGAGCTACAGCCACCCATGTGTGCATTCTAGAGAAAGAGAGAGATAATGGCGTTGCCGTTTGTAATCGGCCACCTGATCAAACAGCTACACAAATGCCTGTGAAGTCTTTTGAGTACTGGTACCTTTTAAGAAGCGTCCCTGTTAAGCGATTTAAAAATAGACAGCGAAGTCATGCAAATTTCCAGTTTCCACTTGAACAGCGCTGACAGCCAGAAAAAAGTTAAATTCTTTGTGAAATGTCTCAGTATTGTCAAAGCTCAGTTTTTCTAGTGCATGAGGTTCCAATACATGATGGATGTGTCAGTTTTTACCTTCTCATGCATGTGTAGTAAATCTCCCACAAACCCATTTTCCCCCCTTTGACTAAAGGAAGGGATCCTATGCAAGTTTTTTTTTCTTCTTTTTATCCACCGTCTATATATGTACCAGTCAAGTCTGTTTGTTCTGCGTGTGTGTGTGTGTTGTATTTCACCGTCATGTTTGCTGTAGCTTTCAGGGATAATAGTCTGAGAGAGGCGTCTGTGCTTTTCACCTCATCAGCGCAGCTATAGAGGAAAACCAAACACACCTGTGGGTTGAGAACCTAAACCTTTTATATGGAGACATTTGCACTCCACCTCTTCACACACATCAAGTGCGGTTACCTCTAGAAACAGGATATTGCCCTCAAAGGAGGCTGGAGTGCCTGTAATGTGGGGTTTCGGGGCTGGTTGGATTGTTTAAAATCCATTAACGTGTTCATGATCATTTAATTTTTATTTATTTAGAGCCGGTTAAGAACATGAGTAATCTCAAGGCACTTTAAGGTAAAGATGCTTGAAAATAGTAGAGAAACCCAATGATCCACTGAGCTAGCACACTTGCGGTCCTGTTATTTTTAGCTTGTACCTGCCCAGAAGAGTGGCTGGACTAACTGAGGACAAAATATTTGGAAATGTGAATTGCAAATACACTTTTTTTTAGTATAAGACGCACAAAATGTTGCATTACTAATAATACATACTAATACTTCCTTCCTGTCACCTAAATTCTCCGCCCGCCCTTTGCTCTTTGGACCCACTCACTCCATTAATGGCTGTCACTGGTGATTGATGGTCAATAACAGAAGCTATCTAATCAGCACAAACAGGGCCCATGCTAATAATGAGCACTTGATGGCCCACACAGCCGAGGAGAGGCACACTCCCTCGACACTGCCTGATAGGTTACCTCAGCCTATCAGACAGAACTTAGAGTCTTAGAAATTATACTTTATGGCATTGAATACCTACCGGATTGCTTATTTGGAATGTCAACAACACTACAGTCTATTGACAGTGAGCAAACAGTACAAGGTATAAAGCTATCACTTTTATTCTGCATTGGAACCAATAATAAATCTAGTCTGGATACTTTCCTGGAACTGGGGCATTTGATTTAGGAAAACGCCATATTTAAACTTTTAGTCAGGGCATGAACTTTTTTTTTTTCTTCTTTTGGAAAGCACCGACTCAAAGTTGAAGGAATCTGGCCTGAGCAGACCTTTATTGTTTGCTTATCTCCTTTTCACTTATGTTTGTGCTCAGGCCTCGCATTGATTCCTGAACATTAATTTCCACCTTGGCTATGAAAGATGACTTTTTTCCCCCTCTTTCTCTCTTGTCATGTGCATACCAACCCTTTCAACTGCGCCTTTTTTTCTCTTTGTTGATGATTAGCTCACTGTTTGGCAAGAGCACGTTGCGGCACAGCAGAGAAATGTCCATGTTTGGGTGGGGTAAGATAACTGTCGTGCTAGATTTACTTAACTCGTTATTCCACAGTGTTTTGAATTCCCATTCTACAGGTTCTCTGTCATTATACCTCCTTACCCATTACTACCCACTACTGTTACCTTATAATTACAGGAGCATAATATGATTTATGTCCCAGACAATCAACAATTCAGGGACATTGTGCTTTTGCAAGAGTTCAAGCTGTACTTTCTCCAATAATCCTTTTAATTTTCTCTAAAACATGGATTTAAAAAAAAAAAAAAGCAACTGATGACATGAAAACAAAGCAGGCTGTGAGCCTATAGGGTTACACAACACTAATCTCGTTTTTACATCCACACCTCTGAACAATTTTGTTTTCAGTCTCCAGCAAATGGCACAAAGCCATAACCTCCCCTCCGAAAACAAAAAAATGGAAAAGTACAATCTCACAATTACATTTCTTAATGTGCAGTGTGACAATCAAACACTGCCACACCTGTAACAACGACTCGTGCTGTGCTCCGAGACTCCTGACACAAAGGCCGCTTTCAGTGGTTACAGATAAACTGTCTTATTGATGTTCACTCGCTTGTGATGGGATATTAAAACAAGTCTAATTCTTGTGAAGGCAAAATACTTTGATGATAATCACATTAGAAAGTTGACAGAATGACATAAAGTTGAGCTGATAGAATAAAACGAGCTCCATCCATCCATTTTCTTCTGGTTATCCAATTCAGGCGCTCATCAGTTAAATATTATCAGAGAGGAGACAGACTGCAGTGCTGACAATGGTTTCGGTGCGATGTTTGTGTGGAGTTTCTTTAGGATTCAGAAGTAAAGGAATGATGCAAGCACACAGAAAATTGGTCGTTAATCTTTAATGCTTTGAAGTCATCAAGTTTTACTGCAGAAAAACTTGATTTGCTGCTGTTATATTTACAAAAAAAAAGGAAAAGCAACCTTCTTAACTTTCTCCCTCGTATGCACCAAGTCTGATAATTGAAACTGTAGCTGAAAATGTCCATAAAGTGAGCTGGGATGACACGCACGCACACACTGCTGCAAGGTCCTTGCAAAATTTCTTTAATTCTTTGTGTCTTTTTTCATTTTTCTTCTGTTAATTCATGTGAAAACAAGTTTTTTTTACTTTTCCAACTCAAATCTTTCCTTTCACAATTTGACACTTGTTTTTATGCACACCACCGTCACAATGGTTGAACCCATTGTCTGAAACACTGTTTCATGAGATTTTTATCTCGGTTTAGTTTCGCTGAAGTCAGACAGGAGTTTTTACAGAAGGAAGCAGTAAACACCAAAAGTGCATGCTAACTGCCATTCAAACAATCCCCCCCACATTTAGAAATACAACTACACACAGACGTCATACAGGCACACAAGTCTTATTGTGAAGGGGTGTTATTTTTAGAGTGCTGACATCACTGTAATATTTCAAACAGCAGGAAACAAACCGCCAAACATCAAAACACTCAGAAATATATGAGCTAAAATTATATCTGATAGAAAACACGATCTGGTATGTTAAAGGAATTTTCTTTAGCACTTATGTTGAATGACTGAGTGTGGGAAAGTGGAATCGCTTTCTGTGGTGTGTTCAAGTAAAGTTGGTCCTTTGACTGATGTGTACTCGAACTTGTCTTTGCTTTAAGAAATTTAAGAAAAAACCTAAAGTATGTAGCTGACGCCTCTGCGCTCTCCTCTTCTCTTTTTGCAGGCGAGAAGCCATACCGATGCACATGGGACAACTGCGACTGGCGCTTCGCTCGATCCGACGAGCTCACCAGACACTACCGGAAACACACCGGGGCCAAACCCTTCAAGTGCATCGCCTGCAGCCGCTGCTTCTCACGCTCGGACCATTTGGCTCTGCACATGAAGCGTCACCAGAACTAAACCAAATATACCTGCATATACAGACACACTCCATGTTGCATAAAGAGACAGCCACCTGAACCAATCAGCTTTATAAGAGTCAGAAAGAAAACCAAAATCACCCCACCCCCAAGTGCTCTGGTGTTTAATTTCATGAGTTGTCCAAAAATCAAATTAAAAGTTGCACCGCACGTGAAGTTTACCCGTGGATAAACTCCAGCGTAGGTGCTACACCAACAAGTTTTTAAATAAATAACAGACCTGCATATCTGTTGTCAACATGTCGGGTGAACAGGCCTTACAGTTACTAGCTGCTCTCTCACCCGGTTAGTTTCATTTGTTGTTCAAACAGCAAAGGGGATCCAGGCAGATGATAACAGAACAAGACTTTTGGAGCTGCTCCATGTTAGATAGAAATCTGTCTGCAGTCAGTCGCTGCAGAGTTTGCTGAACTCTCACACCAGAGCCGACGGTTTAGCAAAAAAATTCGACCACTGTGGTGATTTTGGAGTTTGTCCTAAATCACATGCTCTCTCACGAGCAGCTCGTGAATCTCGATTCGAATCCCTCCCTGCAGACTTTGCAATCAGGACTTGGGACTCTGATCAAATCCTGGAAAACTTTCTTCTGCTGCATTTTTAAAAAGAGTAAAGAAAAAAAAGAAAACCACCAGCAACAACAACATGAACGTTTCAAACAAATCTGCTGCCAACATCATCATCATCTTCACCTCTGTCACCGCCTTTTATCGATTGAGGTATGAACTGTAAGTAAGAGGTGGAAACACTTGCCTGTCCTCTGTACATACTTGTTTGTAAGTGTGCGTATGTGTGTTTAATAATATGACGAATGTATTGAAATTTATACTTGACAACTTTTTTTTTTTTTCTTATCGAATGTCTTATCCCACTTCAAAACTTCCTTGTGGTAGAAGGGTCAAGGGTCTTTTAAAAAACAAAAAGAAAGAAAAGAGAAAAAAAGATCAGTCGGAATCAGAAAACTGCACGGAAAAGTTAATCATCTCCTAGTTCTGCATGTTTTTCTATACAGGTAATACCTGTTGAGCTCACGGAGCAGCGCAATTTGCCAATGTTTGTATCCATGACATTACCTGTTGCCGTGGCAACGGAGCTCCTATGACAACAGTTTGGTGTTTGCTTGCCTTTTCCATTCAGCGCTGTTTTTCACCCTCTTTTTCTTTTTTTTTCTCTCTTTTTGCTTAATTGTCCTGTATTTATTCAACACTTCAACCCAAGAAAGATAGAGATGGGTGGATAGCTCTATTATGTAATCAGGTTTGTTAATACGCCGTGCGCCTGGTACATTACGCTCTCACAGGCGGCCCTATTAACTGAAAGAACAGGAAGTGCACATTCACATGAATGCTTAGCATTTAATCGATGGGGCTGTTGCATCTTTTTGACTTTTATTTGGAAAGCATAGAAGGCTTTTCGCCCCCACACTGTTTTTGAGCAGTGCTCTTCCAACATGCTTGAGCACTAAAGAAGGGAAACCTTCACTATTCGTGGAAAAATGTTATCAAGTAGTGGATGCTGTAAAGTGAACAGCACTAAAAGTCATCTTCCTGAAAACACGATCCTCGTGGAGATCTAAACCTTCTCAGGGTAAAAGGATTAGCAGCTGTGTCGTGTCCTCGTGCGGCTTCTCTTCAGAACAGACTTAAACGTCTTCCAGTAAATCTTGCACGCTGATCAATAACAGGAGTGCTGCTGGAGTTCATACTGTTTTTTGTTTGTTTTGTTTTTCACCATTCAGAGGCAGTGAAATGTTTGATCTGCAGTGGCAGTGAACTTTTTCATGCCTCAGTTATAAACCAGCAGGCATACACCCACTACGTTTACCTACCTTATTTTGCAGAGTTCACTACAGGCTGTTTTTATCACTTTTTTTCAAGCATGCTGCTTCTCCACAGACCAGATCCACCACCCACAGAGTTTCAGCACAACCTCATCACAGAGACACACCCTTAAAGATATTGACTTGGGGTCTGTTGGGTCTTTTTATATGACATAGGTGAGATGGAGATTTCTAAAATCTACTGTATAGTATGTTTACATTACCTGTCAGATTTCTTTCAACTGGGGTAAACTGTAAAGAAATTCGTGGGCTTTTGTGATTCTCCTTGAGTCTTTTATCTAAACGTATTTAAAGCGAGGCCACTACATTCTCAGATTATTATTTTAGGGTCTTTGCCTTACAATATAAAGCGCCTTGAGGGACTGTTATTAATGATATTAATGAATTGATTGATACTTGGTGAGCATAGTTTTGGTATAATGTGCACATTAAAGACAAATTGTACTCTAATATAAAAACAGTACAAAATCTACACTGATTATTACAACAGAAGACGACAATCTTGCAACCAAAGAGGTTTTTCTAAGTGAACGGTGCGTGCACACCCACTCTCTTTAAACAAATAATCCAAGAACGTAACAGTGGCAGCATTTCAGAGGTCCAGAATTTGGATCCTGTAATAAGAACAACTGCCGTCTGCAGACATGTCAAAGCTGAAAATGATTAAGAGCTGTCTATGTTTGTTTTTTTTGTTTGGTCTTGTCGTGAGCCCTTAAAAAAACAAAAAAAACAGGAGGGTTAAAATATAAAACAAATACAACTGCTGTCAAAGTGGAGCCAGAGAGTGCAAGACTCTGTCTGCAGTGGAAACGTGCAGCATTCAAAGTGAAGCAGCTGAAAAGGAAAACATCTGTTGTAATCCCTACTGCTGCTGTTGCTTTCCCAGGTACCATTAGCACTGTGCCTCTTTGTTCTTTTAAAACAACAAACTTTGTGAGCAAATACTCAGCCGTACTGGTGTTTTCTTATCTGTAACGGGTGCGTGATGCCAGAACATTTAAACAGTCGCATCGTCCTTATTGTCATTTTAGCTTGGCCCTGTTTGTATCGAGAGGCTGAAGGTTCGGCCCAGATCCCTGCAGGGGAAACGCATCCTGTTATTTCAAATCTGATTGTTTTATTTTATTTTTCATCCCAAGGAACAAGTTCTCCTGTCTCTCTAAAGAAGGGAGCTCTGACCACCCACTGTGTACATACTGTAGTTTTAGCTTCATCGAAAGATTTTGTAAATATTTGTTTTACTTCCTATTATAATATTGATATTTTTTCCTTTTTTTAAAATAATGGGATTTTAGATCAGCCGTATGTGAGTTTGTTTAATTTTGTTTTGATACTTAATGTGTGTAAGAAAATTATCAAATTGTTTATGTTCCAATTAATAAGAACAATGGTTTATTTTGCTTTTTGTTTGTGCAGTAATGATGCTGCAACAAAATAATAAAAATGTTCATAAAATAATAGATTATCTGGTGTTTCTTACATTTTTTCCAGCTTTCCAAACTCTTATATAGGAAATAATTGGTGGACACGTTTTAGATTATTTGTGTCGCTGCTGTAAAAACAGTTGTTATAATGAAGAATCACTCTGACAAACACTTCAGTGCCACACAGCAACCAGTAAATACCACATTCATCAAGTGGTCAGAAATAGGGCTGGGTCGTCACTGATTTCTAGAATCGATTCGATTCATGATTCAATTCCATTCGATTCAAATCAGGGAAATTTTGTCTCAGACAGTCAGAAATATTATAATTCAGATCATTCATCAGTACATTTCCATATTTTTATATCAATAAAAAAAGAAAACTGACCCTTGCCAGACTTTATCAAAGGTGTAAGCATCACAGCAGATGCCTTTGTGTCAAAGTAGCTGAAGATAAAACAGAAAAACATGAAGGTGATTTTCCTGGCCTGGGATTTTATAAAAATATTCTGCAGTACATCAAAAACGAAAGAAAACCATTAATCAACATATGAACATTACCTGATGCTGCTGACATGAAGCAAAGCAAAGCTACAGAGGTTTGATTAGAGACACAGCTAAGCGTTTTGCAATTTTGCATAATTTAAAGTTTACATTTGTTCAGTATTGAACATCAGAAATGACGCTTTCTTTTCGGAAGTAAGTAAAAGGAAAAAAACGTCCGACAGCGCTGTAAACAACGGTAGACTTGTGCGTAACTGGCAAGCGAATAATGCAGAAAACAGATTTTTAGATGAGAGAGAGAGAGCTGTGCATGAAGTGTGATTTTTATCGTGGTGGAAGCAAAACAGGAAAAGTAAGAGGGAATTCATGACGATGTTTATGTGAAGCGTAGTTTGCTGCTTCTTTTGCTGCTGGTTCGGTCAATATTGTTTGGTGAGAGATAAAAACCTGCAGCTTCCAAATCTGCGCAAAAAGGGCGTGAACACAAAGCGCGGACCCGCCGAAACATCAGAATCGGCGAGCTGTCGGCTTTCAGCCCCGACCGTGTCCGTGCCGTCGGGTGATAAAGTCACATCTCGCTGATTCTGATGCGTCGGTGGGTTCGCGCTTTGTGTTTACATCTTTGTGCAGAATCCGTGTTCCTGCTCTCATTTACTGTTTTAGCTGTTTGGTGGTTGTTGAAATTTTGTGAGGTTTAACCTGAGATTCTGGCGTTTCGTGCAAAATAAATTTATATTTAAAAATCAATTCAGGATTTTAATGAATCGATATCACGTTATCCAAGCCAGAATCGATTTTAATCGATAAATCGATTATCAAAACCCACGCCTAATTACTATTTCCATCCATTTTCTTCTGCTTGTCCAATTCAGTGTTGGATGCAACTGCTGTTGGGCTGTCATAGCTGACCCTGCACAGGTCATTGCTAAAGTTGATTTAACTGTTCTAGCTGTTCACTGTGTAGCTTTTCTAACCGAACTGATCTGATAGCTACAATAAGAATATTATAACTATTAATTTGCCCATAAGCAAAACTCTTACTAAGACGCACAGCATAGATCTTTGACCAGTAACCAATCAAAATCGGCTGTAGCGACCACGTATGTGTACACATACAAGGAACTGGCCTATGGCTCTGTCTTTGCTCTCAGTGTACATAACGTATTTCTCATACAATAGTGGAGTCTGCAAAGATGCTGGAATAAATTATGGAATATATATAATATGGAATAAATAAGTGATAAGTAGCTTCTATATGTGCAATTTATGCATGAGGATAGATAGATGGGCATGGTTATGAAATTAATTGGCGATAACCTTAAATATCTGAATTGCAAAGATACAAGGTTGTTGACGTCATGGAAAAATCTCACTTCCACAAAAGAATCCTACCTATGAGGAGATAATAGATTTGCCAGCTCTTCACAAAAACAGTGAGGAATCACAGTCACTCATTGCCCTGTATCAACTCATCCACTTTATTGTGGCTTTGCAGGTCGGCGATACCTGTTTGTCATTGCGTGATGTGACAGGTGGAGGATAACGCTGCTGTCGAGCAGCTCTGCTGAGGCTGCGTGACACAAAAGAACCTGATATTTTGACAGAAGAAAGTCAACAATTAAGCAAGAAGAATAAGGGTATAATGACAGAAAGGGTGGAGTCACCGCTGAGTTCGCTGGCAGGAGAAGTAATCATTATGTTTGCGCCAAGACGCTTTCATTCAGGAGCCTCAGAGATTTGCTTCATCATCTGGGGACAACGCCCTTAATGCACGGTGTGTATGCAAGGGTGTTAGCCTCCTTATGCACAGTACGAATGAGTAAGAATTGTGTGCTGGTAGGGATTGCATGTGAATGTGCACTGACTCAGTTAAAATTTAGTTCTTAGTGGCACTGACTGCACCTCAGCCTATGATTTTAGCTCTTTCTGTCTTCCCCCAAATTACTAAAGCTCTTTAACCCCACAAGCAATTTATCTCCACTGCCAAGTTTTTTCTCAGTCCTGACTGTGACTCCACTCAGGATTTCCATTTCAAACGGATTCTCAATATTCCAAATACTGGAAGTTATGTTATGTAACTTTTTTGGGCAGAGCGTGATGTCATCATGGGTGATAATCTTAACATTACACACTGTAGCGACAAGCAAAACAAACTTTTTGGGGGGGGGGAATGTAAATAGTTTTTTATGTGTGACAGAAAAATGTATTATCATTATTAGTAGTAGTAGTAGTTCTCCCATTGACCACTTTCTTTCCATAAGCCTTATTCACACAAGCACTTTTTTCCATGCCTAAGCACTCGGCCTTGTCTACTAATCAGAAGGTTGACCCGCAGACAACCTGCTCCACCTCCTCCTGAGCCACAGCCTCGCTGGTTAAGTCATGCAAAATGACATATTCTGATTTCCTGAGAACATAGTTAAGGTTAGAGTTAAGTTTGGGACCATAACTGCTGAAAACCTTGTGTTTTGGGGTGTTTTACTTTAAATGTGAGTGACAGATAATGACCAATCACTGCAGGTTTACTTTTGTAGTTCTGACTGAGATGTCAGATTCAGGGGTGCAACATTATCACATATACTGGTTTAAGCACATTGTCTTAGTAGACTGTGCTGTTTAGCTTTTGTGTTAAATACAGAAAAATGGAGGTAGTAGGTTTCTATTATTCAAACACTTCTCACTATGATTTGATAAGTATTTTCTGGTTCCACTGGGGATCGAACTCAGGACTTTCTGCGTGTAATGCAGACATGCTAACCACTACACTATGGAACCACAATGCAGAGGAAGATGAGCTGACTGACAGCACATGTGTTGGTTAGTTTCATGTTTCCATGTTCTGCCCACTGCACATGTTCAAAGACATGCACTGGTTGGGTTAACTGTCATAGGCGTGAATGGTTGTCTGTCTCAGTGCAGTAACTATCTGATGAACGCCTATAACAGCTGTTCACCCAAACCTATAATCCTCACAGTAGTTGTAAAGACAATTAACTAACCACAGGACTTTTACAAAGTTTTTATTACTTTTTGCTTGTTTAGGTCAATTGATTTTTAAGTGACAGTTCACAACAGCAGTTATCCCAAGGTTCGCTATATTGCAGGGTAAGATTCATGCCATATTAAAGAGTGAACCTCAACAATCTCACTTGGGAGAAAGAACTCCCGTTAAATCCTGCAGTATCAGGATGTCTAAAAGTCAAGGATACGTGACAAAGCACAGACTAACGGCTGGAGAATGCACAAAGTCTATGACATGCAATAGTGGCATGTAAACATGACAGGAGTGCACGGTGTGCCGCTTAAAAGAAAAGCGTCAAAAGAATTCTTTTAAATATCTCCCTCACTGACAGTTGCCAGATGTTAACAAGGACAAAGTCAGCTACAGGTTGTTCCCTGCAGGTACCCAGATGACTCACCTGTTTATCTACAATCAGTTCCTTTTCCATTTGATGCTCAGGTACATTTTCTTTGGCTTCGACCTGCCGAGCATTCACCCGGGGGCCTGGTGAAGCTGGCTGTTTGACTCGCAGCTCATTCCACAGTTGCTGCAGTAAAACTCCTGTCAAAACTTGTCGATCTGATTCTGCAATGCTGCCTGCAGTCCTCTCTCTGAGGAGTTAAAATAGCTCTAAGACGAACAGCTGTAGAGATAGATAGAAGACCTCTGAGGACTGTGAATACATTTGAAAATATTTCTTCCTGCATCCTGAGCTATTTCTTCTAATGATTATACTGAACACTCGATGTAGTATTTGTCTCAGCAAGCTGCTTTTTGTAAGCTCATCCTAATTCAGTTCTTCGCTGCAGGAAAATCAATACTTTTACATATGCGTTGACAGTACTGGTAGATATTAATACGCTGTTTATGTGAGAGGTATTAGATTCGTAAATAAGCTATATAGACGTGTTTGAGCTAACGATACCCGTTATCTCTGTCTGCGGGTTTAGGTTTTGTTGAACCAAGAAATCCTAGCGAGGTTGAGCTTCCTTCATACCCCTCTGGCCAGCATGCCGATTATTTTTCAGCATTAAGCTGCATCATTAGCTCATTTTGAGATAATGATATTAGCTATATCAGTGTTTCCCAACCTTTTGGAGCCACAGCACATATTAAACATTAGAAAAATCACACGGCACACCACCAAACAAAAATGTCACAAATAGCAGATTGATCATTTTTCCCTGCACACCAAGTATAGCGGAATTAGCTCGGTTTGTCCCTAGTATACCTTTTTTACTTTTTTTACTACTTTTTCTTTTCAAATATTTATCTATTGTAATGCGCTGCGTTGTCTCACTCACAGCATGCCTATGTAATCTCTTCTTCGTCTTTTTCTGTTTTACTCGCTGTTGGCAACCCATTTAATTAGAGCAAGCAGTTGCACTGCCCTCTAGTGGAAGAGGGTGTAATTGTTCTGCCGTTACTCACGCCAGTCGCTTTGGAGCACCAATCAAGTGAAAACAGATAATCTGGAATACCTGAGCATTTCTCACGACACACCTATGTGCCGCGGCACAGTGGTTCGGAAACACTGAGCTATGATATATGAGCTACATCATTAGCTTATTTTGAAGTTGAAGGCAGTGGCACTTCTCCAAAAAGTTGGGACAACAAAATGCTGGAAATATCCGTAGTACTGAAAAAAACAGCTGGAGGAACAGTCTGCAACTAATTAGGTTGGCTGGCAACGTGTCAGTAATTTGACTGGGTATAAAAAGAGCATCTTAGAGAGCTAATGAACTAATATTCTCACCAAACAGTAAAATATTTCAGTTTCATTTGATGTGTTTCCTGTGTTTTGTTCTGAATAAAATTTGGGTTTACAAGATTTCCAACCTACTGCATTCAGTTTCTGATTGTCTTTTATGCCAGTGGTCAAGTTGGTGGTAGCTCAGCACAGGCCAAAGTGGTGGACCTGTTTGAATATTTGCAGTCCAATTTATTCTTGTCAGTCTACTTTTTGTTCTTTACTATTTTAGTTGATGCCTCAAACTACTTGCAACACAGTGCTGTATGTTGCACATCTGCCTGTGCCGCTGTACTTGCTCGTGTATGATAAACATCTTTCCCACTGTGTAACGCAGACGTTGCACCTGTTCAAGAACTTCCCTTGTCTTCATTAATGCAGTGAGAGAGGTGACCTTAAGTAACTTAGCAGATTTTAATCACCATTAACTGAAAGCTTCTGTGTGGGTGTGCACATTTTTTGACTTATGAATCAAGCAGCTGGATGAGTAACCTCTGGTGATAGATAAGGACAGGCTGGCTAGACAGAGATAACTTCCCGCCTCGCGTGTTTCACCAAAACGTGCCCAGGTCAACCCTCTGTGGGGAAGCTTCCTTGCCATCCAGACCCTGAGCCTGAGCCGGCTGGTCTGACTGGAGCATTATATATGGTCTTGTCTTGGTCAGTCATCTCCTTTTGCCTTTTATTTTATTGTGTTTGTTCATGTTTTAACATGTGGGAATATTTTCAGCTCTGTTAAAGTGTTCTTCCAAGAAAAGATATTGTCTAACCAGGAAGATAGTCTGGATGCCATCAGCCTCCAGCACCACTGTGAGGAATCTCGAAGTCATTTTTGACCACGATATGTCCTTCAGCGCACACATTAAACAGTTATCTAAGACTGCCTCTTAGGAAGATCGCTGTCCCTGGTCCACTCCTTTGCTGCGTCTTTCTATACAAATCAATAAAATAACTCTTATTTAAATATTGGTTCCTCTCAATTAATTCATATTGTTTCATCAGTAACTAATTTTGTAGGGATGCTTGTAGTGGATTTACTGTATGAAAATTACATAATCATAAACCTCTAAAAAAAACTTTGTTGTGAAGCTGAAGTTCTGAGATTTCTCCAGCTGTGTGTTTTGTGAAAAATATATTTGTGGTCTGGAATGTTTTGGTTGTGGTTGCAAAAACAGCATAACTTCATGTCCGATCTTAAAACAAACAAGATGTATCTTTAAGTGATAAGTCGTCTGGTATCTTTTCATCAGCAGTCATTAAAGATCTCTGCGCTGCAAAATGTGCACCTCTTGGAACTATTAAAGTAAGGTGAGGCTGTTGTACGGCAATGACTGACTTGTTTCAACAAAAGCCAGGAAAAAAGTCACTTGACATTTCTTGGAACGTCAGCCATATGCAAGGCCGTCTTTACTTGGAACATGCACAGAATCCTCTTCATAATCTTTTGAAGAGCCTTTTGAAAGGCCACGTGACCCGCTTCAGCATCATCTGTCAGGCAGCTGTCGCGTATAGGCGTTACTATAACTGCATGCATTTATTGCAGTGCTGCAGACAAAAGCAGCACACTGTGCCATGCCCAGATAACATGTGAGAGGATGGAAAAGGAAAACGAGCCAGCGGATCTGTCAAAACAACCCACAATGCCCGCAGACTGTGAGTTGTCACTTAGATATGCAGGGATCAGCTGTATTGTTCACCTGGCTTCCATGGTTTGGTGAGGACCTGCTTTGACAAGCTCTCTCATACCCACAAGTATATTTTGGATTATGGTGTAAAAACAACTTGTCCCTGTGGCCGCACAGTGAGATATTTATGGCAGTCCTTACCGACCCTGGCTGCAGTTTAACTGCACAGTCACGACGGGCGAGTCAGACAAAGGCTCACGTGATTACTTGTTGCACTAGTTGTTATTTTGAGTTTTACCTTTAGACAAAATAACCCTTTTCTGGTCACTCTCCTTTATTTTTTCTTATGCACCCATGACTGAGATGTAGGAAAGCACAATACAAAATTTGGAAACATGTGATCACAGAGGTGTACTTATCAGATTGTATGAAAACGATAATCACAGCAACAAAACAACATGAGCGATCTACAGTAAGCTGAGCTGAATCGGGAAATTGTGCCGTCTATCAAATATGTGTTTCGGCCCGAGCTTACATTAACAGGCCAGTGAGTGGAAACCTAAATCATAAATGCAACTTTAAAGACGTCATTCACTTTGAAATTTCTCACTACCAAACATGGCTGGTGTTGTGCTATGAATCTGATTTGTCCTGTAATGAATTTCTTCTAAATTACTTTATATTTATAGGGATGTAGCACATTAACTTTGTGCTCACTCTTCATTTTGCACACATGTGTGTTACGATCCAATGTTGTCAGTGTTTTGTGTTAGGCGTGACTGTTATGTGTTTCCTGTTTTACTTTGAAGGTCTGTCTTATCTCAGTGTGTTCAGGTTACGCTTCCTTGTCTCGTCAGTTCTGATTTGCCCCAGCTGTGTTTCCCTCCTGTTGTCCATTCCCTGATTGCTCCCTCTATGTATTTAAGCCCTGTGTTTCGGTTTGTCATGGGTTGTGATCACTGTGGTGTTGGTATCTTAGTTTTGTAAATAGCTGTAAATAGATTTGTAAAGTAGCAATTGAGTATTTTTTCAACCTTGTATATATTGTTCACTGCAGCAGCCAGTGTGGTGGGCCAATGTTTTTGTTGCGTTCAGGACACGCCTAGACCTAGAACGTAACATGTGCATCATATTTCATTTTATTTTATTTTATTAAAATTGTCCCAGATAATGAGAAACATCCGTGCCCTCACTTGTGTCCAAGCTTTTGGCTTTCTCAGCTATTCTGCTGTAGATTTGCTGCTGTGACCCAATTTGGGCCATTTGACATCTGACTCTGTATATGGTATATCGTATGTATACAGAGAAACACGTGGTTGGCTTAATGACTTCAAGGTGTCCGGTTTCTGTTGCTCCAAACAACCCGAATCATCACCCCTCCACCGCTGTGGAGGTTTTCACCAAATGTGTTGCTGTGTTTTATGGCCAAACATCTCCACTTTAGTCTCACATATCCCAAGGACATTGTTCCAGAAGTGGTTTGTTAAGATGTAGCTTTGCAAACCTAAGCCATGCTGAGCCAGGAAGAGGCTTTCTCCCAGAAACCCTTCCAAACAACAACATGAAATTTTAACAGCTAACATGTTACCTGAGGCTTTTTTTTTCTTGTCTTTTCTTTTTATAACTTTTTTGACTTTGGGGTTAATTTTCTGGGACAAGACACACCCGAATCCACAATCTGGGACAGTGAAACACAACCTAATTATAATTTAAATGGGTGGTCACCCTGTTAGACTATGTCTGTGTTGCAAGAGCGATTGTGCAGAAACATTGCAGCAAAACAAATTTGTGACTGAAAAATTACAGGATGTAGTTCCTGTTCTTCGGGTAGAACTGTGAACCCTCCTAAGAGGATTCCCCATTAACTGCATCAGCCAGAGGGAAAACTGTTAAGCCAACCTCTGCATCGTGTTGTTCATCTGCAAATGCATTTTTCTTAAGTTTATCTACCTCTGGAAATCTGTCTGGAGATCTACCATATTGTTGCATGGCGTAGCGGCCAGCATACCTGCCTTAAACACAAAGGGTTCTGGGTTCAATCCAAAGTGGAACCACAATAACCTGGACACTGAAGCATTGATAGACAAACTGCTCAAAGTTGTCTGCAGATACAAAAAGGAGCCTGTGTTTCACATATATAATGATTACAGTTTTTCTCGATTGCTAAAACACATTTCTTGAAACTACGCCTCATATCCTCACAACAGTAAACACAAATCCATAACATCTCACTCAATTTCCCAAACATCCTATTTCCAGGTCAAAATGAAGCTCTACACCCAAAACTATTCACTCCTGCTGAAAAACCAAACTTTGCCCACAGACATCAAACACAAGCCCTCAAAAACACACACACTACAACAGAGTTTTGCACACTGGTACAATTAATTCAAAACAATAGTTCCAAAACAAATAGGTTGCTTATGGTTCTCCCCTTCAAAACCCTTGTCACATGATAAACACAAAAGACGCAACCAATGTATGTACAGTGGCACATTGTCATTCATGTACTATACAGTACAACACACACCAGAAACATTATCCCACCTCAGCATCTTGTCTTTGGTCTGGGTCAGGCCAGAGAATCTCATCCACATCACAGGCTATATTGGCCCCAGCCAGGCAGCGGGGGTAAAATCCTCTTGCATGCCTGATCCACCCCTGGCATGCATCTACTGATATGTCTAGACAGGCCTCTTCCATGGCCTGAAGGAGGTGAACACGGACATAAGGTTCTCGGTCATACACTTTCCACCGCCATGCCGAAAATAACTCCTCTATCGGGTTTAGAAAGGGAGAGTATGCAGGCAGAAAGATATTAGAAAACCTTGGGTTATTGGTAAACCAGTCACGAACCAGAGCAGCGCGATGGAAGCTGACGTTATCCCACACAACAACGTAGTGAGGCTGTTCTGGCTGTGCTGGTTCCCTGTAGTCCAGCTGGAACATATGTTGTCTTAAACCATCAAGAAAAGCAAGGAGAAGCATAGTGTTATAGGGTCCTAGTACGGCATAGCGGTGGAGTACCCCTCGTTGGCTGATGGCTGCGCACATAGTGACATTCCCCCCACGCTGACCAGGGACATTTACAATAGCCCGATGGCCAATTATGTTCCTCCCCCTTTTCCTTCTTTTGGTCAGGTTAAAACCTGCCTCATCCACAAAGATTATTTCATGGGGAAGAGGCCGTCCTTCAATCTCAAAGATTCTCTGCAAAACACATAACACAGTAGAGTCAATCGGTACCCTGAACCACAGTTCAAGAGTGCTGCAATGGCAGCATAAACTGCCATGCTGTGATGGTACACAATACTTTATACAGTATCAAAACTCATACCTGAACATATTCCACACGTTGGTTTTTCACTCTGTCAGAGTTTCGTTCGAAAGGGACTCGGTATGCCTGTTTCATCCGGAATTGATTCTTTCGGAGGATGCGGTCAATTGTGGAGAGGCTGATGGCATTTATGCCTCGAAAAAGATGATCATCCTCAATCACTCTCCTTTGAATCTCTTGCAGGCGGATTACATTATTTGCAATTACCATGTTTACAAGTTCCCTCTCTTGCTCCTCCGACAAAAGCCTTAACCTGCCTCCACCAGGTGGTCGTCTCTGTGTCCTACAAAAATAGAAGCAGTCATTACTGTAACTGTCACACATTCATTTTACAGGCAAATAATGGAAACATACTGAAACTCAAGACACATAAGTTCAGTAACTTAAACATTACTGTACAAAGCAGTCTTACTGCAAGTACACCTACCTGTTTTCCTCCCTGAAGGTTCTGATGATGGAGGCAACAGTGAAGCGACTCAAATTTGGTTGTACTCGTTGCCCAGCCTCCCTCATAGTCATCCCATGGACAAGGACATGGTCAACTAAAGTGGCTCGAATTTCATCCGAGACTGACTGTCTTCTTGCCCTTGCTCTTCCCCTTCCTTGTCGCCGTCGTTCTCCACCTCCACCTCCTTCACCACGTCCTCCTCCTCCTCCACCTCTCCCTCCTCCTCCACCACCTTCCTGTTGTCCTAGACCACCTCCTCCTCTTCCTCCACCACGTCCTCCTCCTTCACCACGTCCTCTTTCTCCACCACGTCCTCTTCCTTTGCATCTCTTTGGATCCATTGTTTCAAACCTGAATGAGCTGACTTTGGCCCTTTTATCTATCCATCGCAGGTTCTGATTGGTGTGTGCTAAATTTTGACTCCTAGTGTTTCCACCTGGTTAATTGTGTGATAATTGAGCTCAAGCTATGCTGACTTAAGTTAACATTATTGCATGCTAGTACTTTCTAAATGACTACATGGTGTAAGCACTGTAAAATGTAGGGATTTGTGTGTAGAGTTTTGCAGTAACAGTTCACCAAATTTGAGTCATGTGTCAAAGCAGGGAATAGTGTTTATAGTTCAGGGAAATGGGTGAGCTTTTTGAACAATAGCGTTACGGTTTTGAAATTTTAGTTTAGAGGCCTGGTTATAGTGTTTAAGCAATCGAGAAAAACTGTAATATAATATTATGACCACAACGAGGCACGACCTCCACTGGTTCATTGGACTGCTTTCGATAGATACTGAATACTGCATGAACACTCTGACCCATTTATCTACCATCATTTTGGCCCAAACTCCCTCAAATCCTTGTGCATGTCCATTTTTCCTGCTGTGCGAGGGAGTCAGGCAAGAGACTTTAGTCTGTGGTGGCCGCTTGGCCCTCAACATTCACACATATTTCTGTTCTGAGAAGTGTAAGGAAAACATGTCACCTGAAAACAGATCTCCGACAGGGCAGATGCATATCACTTCAGACTGTTGAAATGTTCGTTTCTACAAAAACACAACAACCTTTCATCAAACATTTTTTTGCTGCTCCTGGTCTGTAGTTATCTGCCTTGCAGGAAAATAAAAACAAGGTAGAGGAAGGTGGCACCTGTGTGGCTTCATTATGTAGGGTTTACTGCATTTATTTTGCATACAGAAGGTCTTGGGTTCAGTCCCCAAAACTAGACCTTTATAGTTCATACAAAGAAACCATAAACCTTTAACTTAACAAGCTCACCAGGCACAACAGCCTGCAGCTGAGGACGCTACTGTCCACGTGGTATGTCAGAGTGTCTTTGGACAAGATTCAGGACCTGGGGAAGAGTGTTAACAGTGCTGTCAGTGGTCAGTAAGACCAGAAGAGCATAGTAACAAAGTACCTTTAAACCGAGTATTTATTTAGTATAAGTAAGAGTTTTAATACAGTAACAACAGAAACTGAACAAACAATATAACACCTCACTGCCACACCTGAGTTATAAACTCCACTCAGCCGCAGACCGGTGCTGATTTACAGCGCTAAACACTGAGCTTCCAAGAGGGTTAGTAACTTTGCATGTAACTTTGTGCCTGTTTTAATACTGTAACTATTAAAAGTAACACTAAGCCAGCAATACACTGAAAAAAAGATATGTAGCAAAACTGGACAGTTCTCTTAAGCTCAATTAAACAAACACACAGTGTCCCAGGGCATGCTGGGAGATGCCATTTAGCCAACCCAAACATGTGACAATATTTTACTCGTTTTAAACCCTGAAAAACAACACATCATTTGCGTCTGCATTTCAGCCACACCGTTACTGCTTATGTGCAGATTTGTACCTAAAGCAGTGTGTGCATAACACTAATGCTGGATCCATCGCACTACTGGTGATATTTTGTGCATGGTTGTTCAACAACCCTATCAGAAATAAGAAAATGTCTAATAGGTTTTATATGCATTTTTTAGGTATAGCTTATACACTATACCTAAAAGTATTCGCTCGTTTACCTTCACACACATGTGAACTTGAGTGGCATCCCACTCTTCCATCCCAGATATCCCATTCAAGTTCTTCCACACCAATCTCGCTCATCTCAGTCATGTTGGAACAGGAAGGGGCCATCCCCAAACATCTCCACTGCTGTGTAGCCCAGTGGCAGCGTGCTTTACATCACTGCGTCTGATGGAAATATCCTGATCCTTTTGGAAATATAATGTAGCTGACTTGGTAACGATTTTTCATTGGTTAAATATACCAAAAGGTAAATAAATGTGGACTGAATAGCTCAACATCTGACAGCAGGCTTATTTCTCTAAACGTGATCGCTCAGTTTTGGGCGAAACGGTTTCATAACTTAATCCAGAGGTGATTTAAATGTAGTCTGAGGCACTATAGGGCACTAATTTCTGAAAGTAGACTGAGTCACATACACACATGCAGGGCTTGTGGCTTGTTCTGAGTTGTCGTTCGGGATTGCATAAGTGCAATTATAGCAGAAACAGCAGCGTCTTCTGTTCGGTGACTGTGTACCCACAAGCAATGAACTGCGTCTTGGAATCATGTCAAATGTGCTATTAAACTGTACACAAAGACCAAATTGAAAACCAGTAATCTTCTGTATGGGAGGCGAAAACCTTTCACCTCTAAACTATCCCGACTGGTTTGGTGACCGAAGAGATGCAGGCAGTTATGATGAAAGCGTGGAAGTGGAATGATTCATAATGCGGATCTGACAACGGTATGCATGCGGATAAACCTCTAAGCAGCAAGGTTTTTGTTCTTTTATTGCTCTTATATGGTGTGTGTCAGTCTCACTCTCCACCTGTATGAATCCAACGACTGACATGGTGTGTGTTAATGATTGGCCTGATCATGACTGCATGAGGCCCATAAACCCATTTAGACCATACGGCAAAGACGCAAAAGTTTTATTCACAACGCACACACACACACACAAGGAGGTTTTTATGACTTAGTACATGCACTTCATGCTGGGAAGTTTTTACTTATTAACCTAGTTCTAGCTCAGTGTCGTTCTCTGGTCTGTTATTCCAAGTTGATAACTTGGTTTGAGATGAGGTCGGCTAACATTTACAAGTGCAGATGTAACTGAGACACTAGGTGCGCCTGAGTTTATTCGCTGTTTCACTACGCCCCCTTGTGGTGCACACATCAATTTGCAAGTGTATCAGCTGAGATTAATCTTCCTTCTCAGTGAGTGTATCATGTCTTTGTAAGCGGTAGCATTAACCTCACCGTATTTTCACTGTCACTGTCCAGTTTATGTAAAGCAAAGCATTACCTGTGTTTCTATAATGTAGCCGTTATCACATTTTCTTTACACACAGAATTCCCAGTGGAACCAGTTTTGGAACCGTGAGCTCTAGGTCCCACTGGTGCATCCTCACATCTCATGTTTAACTCTCTATTCAAATGCTGGTTGAAATGTCCTTAATTAGTGTGTGAGTGGGTGTGGATCTATGCACTGCATACAAATTAATCAGTTAAAACTGGAAGAAAACGTGCAGGCTGTGGAGACGTGTTCGAGCTGGTGCTCTGTTCCACCTGTCAGGTGGACGTATCGTCATGAGCTGCCAGCATTTAGTGTCGTTATCTAATTTGCATTCAATAAAAAGTTTGCATGCTATTTTTTTCTCTCTCAAACACTCTTAACCACATATCCAGCTGAGGGTGATGATGATTGGTGGTTCTAAATTGGCTCTAGGTGTGATGAGACGGTCAATGATCATCTGTGTGATAGCCTGCAACATCACCGGGGTTCACACTGTTTTCACTCATGGACAGAAAAGATGCTTCATTACCTAAAATGTAATATCTCAAGAGAGACTGACTGTAAAATAAAAATCACAAAATATAATATGGCAGACTTTATATGGGTTTATGAAGAATTCTGTGCCATTGTTATCACTGTTATTAGGAGCACAGCTCGGATGAAGACTGAGAATCAGATCTACATTGCCGATTTGGAATCGTATGCAAGCTTATCATTTCCTTCTATTATGTCTGGCGTGTTTCAGATAGTCACATATTGCAAAACAAAAATCGAGTTACACTTTTGCACATGTAACACCCATGCAAGCTTTTTCTCCCCTCAATCTAAAGACCCCTTGGATAGAGCTCGCTATACGAGATTTGTAGCTGATATGAATCTGCAGATAATGGCTGAGCTTGACTTTGTGACTTGCCTGAAATTGTTCAAAATTTTCATCCCACTAGTGTTAGAGGCTAAAATTCACACAACTTCACCAAAACTGGACAACAGAAAATTGCCTGGTCTGAACATTCTGGATTTCTCCTTAGACTTTTACATGGTGGTTTTATAATTTGGCATAAACATGTAAGTATAGATCCATCCAGCCTTGTACCAATGGTTTGAGCTACAGCTGGTGATGTAAATATGTGGGGGATATATTACTGGCACACTGTAGGCCCTTTAGTACCAATTGAGCATCATTTAATAACCGGAATCTACCTGAGTGTTGTTGCTCACCATGTCCATCCCTTTATGACCAAAGTGTGTTATCCTCTTGGACATAATAAGTTCACTCTACTCAAAGGCCTCCACAGTCTCAAGATCTTAATCAAATAGAGCACATCCATGATGTAGTGGAATGGAAGATTCACATTATGGATGTGCAATATGGACCAAAATCCCAGAGGACAGTTTCCAGGGCATCGTTGAATCTGTGCCACAGAGAACTTCTCGAGGCAAAAGACAGAGCAACCCTAGCAAGGTGTACTTAAGAAAGTGTCTGACGTACATATACTATAGATATTGGTAAAAGCAGCAGGTCTGGAATATAAATGTGGGAAATCTTTTTTCTGAAAATGCCAGTTACAAATACGACCTTTTCTGCCATTTTTCTGATTTCATTGCCACAGCAATTTACAAACACACTGCTTACATTTCGATTTAATAGCAAATGACACTTAAGAACCAAAGTATAAGAAACAACACAGACACAGGGTATTAAATTGCACCAAAAACATGTTTTATTCTATAAAAGAAGAAGAAAGGGAGGGGAAAATAATCACAACTGTACAGGGAGAAACTGACTTTTAAACACCATGAGTCACAGTATCAAAAAGCTCACGTTTTCCTCACTGATCTTTACACATTTGTTCTGTACAAATACAAAAAAGAAAAATATTATTAATAATTGTATTATTATAATGATAACTGCATTGCACTGAGTAAATATAGTACTGGCCCATAAGTTACTGCATTCAATAGAAAATACCTAAAAGTTCCAGATTTGCAGAAGATGTGATTCGTGGTGAGTCGAGGCACTCGCGCACAGACGTGACGTCACCCTCAGACACGAACTCGATCCCGTTACGGTTTCAGCAGGGATAAAACTCTGTCTTTATGGTTCTTTTTTTCACAATCCTGCTTTTATACAAGAACAAAAAGGGGAGGAAACGTGAAAAAAGAGGAATACTGAGGAAAAACAAGCTTGCACAAACCAACAAGAAGCAGGAGATAAATGTACACATGCATCAGTCTCCCTGCCAAAGCTCCGACACCAGCGAAAATATCCTGCCCAGGGTGTCGTCAACAGGCTCGGATGTTTAACCGACCATCGTCGGTGTGTCTCCAGAGGTTTCAGTGCGTGTGTGAGTTTGTCTCGGTGTGCAAATATACCAACTGAGCTGATCAGTGTGCTTGTAAAGCAAAAGGGCCAATAGCAGATACTAAATGACACAGAGCACATGTGCTCTGTGGGGTTAACATTCCCAGAAATAAAGGGGCTTAGCATTCAGGGGTACTTTTTAATGCATTAATCTTTGGGACTTCTGCCTCTGTTACGATATATTTGAGATATGTGAGAGGGAAGGTTTCATTCGTGGTGCTAAAAGGAGATAAGAAGCTGTATTTGGAGGTCTTGAGATTTCGCTGGATTTCTGCTAAACGTTCATTCATTCCTGACCTCGTCCACTAATTAGTCATAAAGATGACATTTAAACGATAAACGAGGTCACTGCCGAGCAGTTAGTGTGTGTGGTCGAGGAAAGATCAACGATTCCATTCACATACAACAAAAAAATCGAAAGCAATCTCCGAAACAGACACGAGGCCGATGGAGAGATAAAACTGAATGTGCTGGAAAAACCAGAACCCCATTTCCTGTTAGCACCACAAAGAAACGTCCACGCACCTCAACTGTAACGACGTGGAGCCAGGAAGCCCCAGAAACAGATAAGGTATACGACATCTGGTCCGATAACAAGTGAATCAGTGGCTCTGTGTTTTGTTTTTGTACTTCAATTAGGTATCTTTAAAAGAACCTTTTAGTTAGTGCAGCACTTGACTGATCTAACATGAATAATGTTTTTGCTGCTTGGATTTCAACATCGATTTTAAAAAGGAGAAACATATCAACACATTTAAACTGGCTACTGTAAATCTGGGGACTTCCTCTTACTTCCTGTTAACTTATCTGAGCAGAACACACCTGAAGCTGAAGGAGGAAAAAATGGGTCTGACCCAAACCAACTGAATCTCACATTTAACTTGACATTTAAAACCAGGTCCAGTACTGGGACATTAAGCTCGGTTGTTATAATGAATCCCTAGTTAGTTGAGTAGGGGGTCGTTTCCCACCCCCACCCCTGCTGGGGCATCTCAACGGTCTCACACGCACTTGACATGCTCACCAACGTCACTATAAGAAAACAAGAAGGCTACTCTCCATGCAACACAAATGTGCACAACACAAGTGGGACCATATAATTGTTCTTTTTTTAAGAAACTACGAAACAAATGTATTAGATTGGAAAAAAAAATACACGTGATGAAAAACACATTTCATCAAACCAACAGAGGAAGAAGAGAGAAAAAAAAAGATTTTTCACATTATCTAGTCAGTGTTAAAAATAGAAATTCACCCGTTACATTTACTCTGCACTTTGATTATATACATTTATGTACACGGATTTCTCTTAATTATTTGTCATTGTCCTTAATGTCTTTATCAACAGTTTACAAAAGAAAGAAAATTGCAATCAAATGCATATACTCTCCTAGAAAGATGTGCTTAGTAACTTCTTTTTTTGTTTTTTTACTTGAAGCAGGGGATGTTAAGAGAAATGGGAACATTGCATTGCTCTGCGCTGCAAAAACATAACAAATAAACCACTAAAATCCTTCCAAGCGAGTGACTGAATTCTAAGTAATGCTTCCCCTGATGGGAAATGGAAAGACAGGAACAGATTCCCTCATTTTTAAACCATATTCAGTGACTCGGCTAAGACGGATTCTCTTCGGTTTCGCAGCGCGGAGACCACGCAACAAATCTGCCCTCTTCACGGCATGCGCTCAGCTCACAGCAAGCCTGCATGTCCATCTCATTTATCGCAATGTGAAAAGTCAAGATGTAAAACATTTTGCTCTCACTTACTAGCTTCTGAAATGATGACAAAGACGACTGTAAATGGCGAGAACGAATTCAAAGCAAAATGTGTGTAGCCGTTTTTTATTGGTGGGGGTTGTTGCTTGAAAAGAGACGAGCCAGGATGAGAAAAGCCTGCTCCGTCCATCACAACCCCAGCTCCCCACTCGCTCATTACCAAGTCTGTTTGAAATTATGGATGTGTTTCCACACCTTAAGTCTTATATACCAACACAGAGTAGTGATCAACAGCGCAGGCCTCTACACAAACCTGACCTTCCTCTTAAGGTTCCTGCAACAACCCTACGTGAGCTGCTTATCAGGAACCCGACTACCAGCTAGTGCTCTAGGACTGAGATCAGAACAGCGCTTGGAGCTGCGTCTGCGTTATGTTGCATAATCAAGTTCAGCCCGGATCGGGAGCTGAAAACCAGCCCACTTAAGACATGGACACTGTGGGTAAGGAACCAGGGTGAGGCGGGGGTCGATTCTGCTCCAAAAGAACCCAATTCGAGACACGATTCATCTGTTAGTATCTACTCGAGGCTTTTAACTGAGATTCTATTGCCATTAAAAACAAACCGGAGTGAATTGACCCCCACCCTGGTAGAAATGCTAGTGAGGAGAGCGCTTAAGTTTCCCCGTGGTTTAAACCCCAGGCGCCTGGACCCCGACAGCCCTACGAGACGCCCGATTTCTCCCAGAACCACCGACAGACGACCGTCACCACTCTGTTATCAGTCTTCTTGCTCTCATAACGATGCAAGGTTACAAAACCATTTAATTATATTAAAAAAGAACAGTCTCGAAAGAGTCTGATGAGCAAAAGCTGGAAATTCTCAAACCATCTGATTTGTTAAGACTTTGAAATGCTTTAGGTTCAACTCACTTTGGTGACACTGTTAAAATAAATGTTAAAATTTCTATTTTAAAAGGCTTGAAAATCAGCAAGCATGTTTTTTTCAGCCAAAAAAACTTTTCTCACCAAATACGGAAACAAATTCCACACATAACACCTTTAATTTCCTGTTTTTAAACTTCAAAAACTAAACAACTGAACTAAAGCGAACGCTGTGGCCAGTCGTCGTCTGTCGGCAGTTCTAGTTTTGCCCTTACAGATTGACTTCGGTTATTAAGGCTCGACGGGCAAGAGGTAAAAGAACAACAAGTGCCCGGAACAACGCACTCATAAAAATCTTAAATTCTTGATTATGTGTTTGTCTCAAAACATGCACACTAACTCACGGACACGCACACACGCACACTCAGAAAAGCTCCCCTATTCCCTGCATGAGAGTTTTACTTGTATTCTCAATCTATTTGTGTCCTTTCCTCTGTCTTTTTCACAGCCTCAGAAAACAACGACAAAAAAAAAAGATCTGAAAGTTTTTTTTCTTTTTAAATAAAAACCAAAAGTACAACATTTTGTTTAGAACACCAAAAAAGAAAAGAAAAAATGTAGACAGGACTAAAGGCCTTTTTTTGTGTTTTTCTGATAAAACAACAGCGACTACGGCGCAAACAAAGCAAATACTGTTATTCAAGAGGAATCGGAAAGGTGTGTGCGGCGGGGGAGGGGGCGGGGCGATAACAACCACGTGATCGATAGATCGATACAATGAAAACAAATGAAGTTTTATTAAATTCACAGTCTTGTAGCTCCCTGTACCGGGGGAGGTGGCGGGGGTTTAGGGCAGAAGGAGGCGAATGGCGATGGGAGGGTGGGGCGCAGTGTTTTAGCCTCAGACATGCTGATGCATCTGACGTCACTTCAGCTGCTGTCAATGAAATAAGCGCACACACACACACACACACACACACACACACACACACACGCACGCACGCACGCACACACACACACACACACACACACACACACACACACACACACACACACACACACACCGATATGCACAGTTAAGTAAATACCTCATCTGAATTTATGATAAATGAGTTTTGGTTCTTTTACTTTTACAAACAGAACCAGGAACTAAAGAACTCCAGGAACTGCACTTCTCTACGCTCCACTTTGAAATCCGAAGACAGTCCAAATATTCAGCAATTGTAAGCAGTTTACTGTCATCCAAGTCGCAGCTACTTAATATTTAAGGAGCTATAATGATACCTGGAGCATTTTTGCGTAATGCTGTATTTTATATTTATGTACCTGTTATTTGATCAAAAGGTCATTCAGTAAGATCACATTTGCCTCAGGCAAATATAACTGGGGTGGAACGAAACTCAAAGTTCTCAAAAACAACTTTTCCTGGAAAAGCAGTGGCGGGAAGCGGCGTCCTCGGAAGTCTCTTTAGCTTCCAAGAAAATAAATTTTGGAGTCACGTAGATTCCAAACTCAGGATATGAACAAAATAAAAACTGTAAATCAAGAAAAGAGCAGCTGAAGTGACATCTGTGTGAGCCCTCCTCTTCCTCTTTGCCTTTTGGATGGACTGATGCATGTAATGGATGGATGGAAGCATGAAAGTCCCTGCTGCTGGATGTCCTTCAGTCCATCCTTTCTCTTTCTGAGGAGGCAACATCTTGTGTGACTGAGTCGGAGGATGGTAGAGAGGACTGCTTTGGGCTGGACGGTAATGATGACAGACACACACACACGCAGCAAAAAACATCCTGCTGCCACCACCGAACAAACACACAGACACAATTGTCCTATGACTGTGAGATGAAGATGAGGAGGAAGAGGAGGAGAAGGTAAAGTCCTTTTTTTTTCTATTTGCAAGGTGGGTTTAAAATCCCGCAGGAGAGCAGAGAGGAAACAGGAAGTATAGTGTGAGGTGTAGGGGCACTGGTACAAGATGTGCTGTTTTTGAGAAATCAAAGGGTCAGAGGTCAGTTTGATAGGGAGCTGGGGGCATCAGGGGAGAGGAAGGAAGGAAGTCAGAGTTCACATCATCACGTGGCGGCGGCGGTGCAGGGAGAGGTGGTCAGACCGGGAGAAGGAGCGGTCGCATTCGGTGCAGCGGAAGGGTTTGATTCCGGTGTGCTTGCGAAAGTGTCGGGTCAGCTCGTCGGAGCGGGCGAAGCGCCAGGTGCAGCCTTCCCAGGTACAGTGGTAGGGCTTCTCTCCTGGAAGAGACGAGGAGAGGAGTTAGCAGGAAGGAGGCAGGGAAGGAGGTTAAAGAAGGAAGAGGAGGGTCAGGACGATGGTGGACAAAATTGAGCAAACAATTTATTTACTACAGGTTATTTACTACAATTACTCTACCTAATCATGTCAATCACTGTATGATTGTAGAATAAAATTAAGATAATATTCAACACAGGAGCTTCAAACAGCCAAATCCTGCTTACCATTCCTACACACACCTTAACAGTGTCTTACCTCAGGAAACCTGTCTGAAAAAAAATACCATTGGGCACTTTTTCCCTAATCTCCTTCAGATTAGGGAAAAACTACTGTCTGCTGAGAGCAGATAAGACGTGAACTGTGCACTGACAAATGTTGAGCCACCGGAGGTTACATTAAATTCTGTAAAGGGGCCATTTTAATCCTTAAAGATCACCCTGCAGTAATCTGTAAATAATGATTCTGGTCTTCACCTGGAGATGAACTGCTCCTTTCAAAGAACACCTGGACGGCACTGATTTATTTGTGGCGTTGTTGTGATGCGTTTCTAGGGCCGAGCTCACCTGTGTGTATCCTCCTGTGGGCTTTGAGGTGGGAGCTCTTGGTGTAAACTTTTTTGCAGCCTTCGTAGTCGCACATGTGGATCCGTCGCCTCTTGATGTCTGGCGAATCTGGATCGACGGGCTCCAAGTCCATAACCGACCTGAGACACCGAAAGAGGAAAAGGACGATTCTGTTGAGAAACGCTTCTTCTTCTCTCATCATGTTCAGGAGAACTTAACACCGATTTAGCCACCAGGGGGCATCAGAAAGTCACACAGCTCCATTTCGATATTCCTCCCCTTCCCTCTATTTGTCTTGAATCGTTTCACCTTTAAACTTATTTTTTACTCCCTTCTTTCCTTAAACACATGAGATAAACTCAAAATTAACCCATCAGCACTCCTCTTTGTCGCCCTTTTTCTACCTTTGACTTCTTCCTCTTAAATGATGCTTCAGTTTTCCAAGAATCAGCTGTGTGAATTATCATATTCATATTTACAGGCAGTCAAACTTTAAATACATTTGATTGGAAACAAAAAGACTAAAAAAATAACACCGCTGATGTCCCTCTTTACAAGGAGGTGTGACGGTGAACTGCATTACATAAGCTTGTTTATGCCCCTGCTCTGGGACAGCCCTGCCCTGCAACAAACACACACACACACACACACACACACACACACACACACACACACACACACACACACACACACACACACACACACACACACACACACACACACACAGAAAATCACAAATAATCTTCCTTAAACCACTTTAAAAGACACAAAATCCACAAAAGACTTACTTTTGTACTCTGAAACACACTTTCTCTCTCTCACACACACACACACTCTCTCACACACACACACACACACACACACACACACACACACACACACACACACACACACACTAGATAAGGGCGCTGAGCAAACTGTCAACGCCCACACCCTGAATTTCAGTTAGTCAGGCAGCCTCGCCCACTGGGTGTGGCCGGAGCTACGTCCTGATTCTCTAATAAACACAGTCTCCAGCGGCACACCACCCTTTACCCTGCGATATAAAACAATCTTTCACATGTCCGCGCTTTCCTCTGGAGGGCTAAATGTCCTAATTTATGTCTATAGAGCGCTCGCGACGCACACATGCGCCCACTTGTCTTCCTGTGTTACAGTCTGGGCGTCTCCAGTGTGTTCTGCTGTACAGAGGGTTATATAAGGTTATATAAGCATCCAGTCATGGCAGTGCTGCAGTAATGTAATTAGTCAGGAGCCTGCAGGCGAGGGAGGTGACCCCCACACAGAGAAAGAATTTCCCATAAACCCTGCTGTGCATTAGAGTCCCTCTTGCTGACCCTGCCGAGTCCTATTATCAGCAGTCATTACACATGGATTTATGCCTTTCCGACAGTTTTGCAGACATCTGATTTACAGTTGGCGTCTCCAAAAAGTGCTTTTCTGTCACAATTTTTTTCTGCTGCAGTACTTCAACTTGCCACCAGGAGATCAAGACTTATGCAGGTTTTAAAGATCTATGTTGCTGCCCATTTGAGGAACCCTATGTCTATGCAAAGAGAGGCTATGGAGAGTCACCTGCACGGAGCCAACAATCTAGCTTCACAATTCACTACAAAGAACTTCTTTGTCTGTTATGACTTCTACTTTCATCGCAGCGTCAGGCTACAGAAAAGAACCATCGAGAGCACAAATCTAAAATACTTATCCTTGTACCAAACATCTGACACTGCCCCCTAGTGGCACTTCACAATAAAGAACTGGGTCTGCAACAGTCTGCATACCAGGTTTTCTGTCACTTGATAAAGGTGTGAAACCACAATAAACCTTATTTATTATGCAACTTATAACTTGCACAAGCAATGTGATGAAGAGGCGAAGAGACCGTGCAGGAAGGAGGTTGGGGTGGACGGAGGGGTCAAAAAAAGAAACCCACTGGACTTTAACATGCGAGATAACCATTTCCTGTTCTGAACTGAGACTATGGCCATTCAATAACGTTTCAATATGCTCTACTTCCTTTCTCAAGTACAAGCTCTCCACTCGCTAGAGGAGAACTCAGGGCTTTGACTGGCTTATTGTTAAAGACAAAATGTTGGCTGCACTCTTAAGCGTACTGTCAGGATCCCTGAGCTATCTCCACTTTCCTGTCAATGCATCACATTTTAATTGCTGCTGATATCTAGTTTTGTATCCTTAATTGTTCATTGTTGTGGTTATCAGCTTTTGAAACCTTAGATCTAGAAAATATAATCGTTCATACTGGGCTCTGAGCATTTCCAAATAATGGGGCACCAGGGTGACTGTGTCTGAAGACCTGCATTCAACATTTCATGAATGCATCTTTCATTTTTTTTATATTTATTGATTGCACGTAAGATTTTACAGGTGTGGCTAAATACATTGTGCTTGATGCGTCCATCTGCATCGAAGACTCACCCCGCATCAAGGCTCTGGGCGCTGATGGAAGCCGATCCAGACTCTGTACCGCTCTCTGCATCGCTTTCACTTTGATATTCCACTGGAGATGTTGAACCTGGCTTGATCCGAACTGCGGGGAGGAAAGGATGAAAGGAAGATGGGTGTAAAGAGTGAATAGAAGGACATAGAGTGGTAGAAACAGATGAAGGAAAATTGTGGGGCCATGGAATTGAGAGGGAGGAGGAAAAAAAAGAAGTTGGGGGTAGGGGGTGGAAACGGAGAGAATAGAACAGCAGGGGGTTAATAACTTCTTAACAGCAATGTCTGGTTTCCAGCAACTTAGCAAGACAAAGGCTTGCTCCAAGTGTGTGTGTAGGATTAGGTGTGGTCTGCATGGCTGCAAAATGGATCAAATCTGAGGCCAAACCCCACGCTGGATTCCTCTGCATGTCTGCTTGTTTTCTCCATCTTTCTCAAAATGCCTGTTTTAGCCTCCAGTTTCTATTAAAAGAAGCATCTTCCAGTGGTTGTCTTTTACTTTCAGTTTCAACAACCTTTTACAATGTCACAGCAGGAGGAAGATGATGTGAACAGCTGTTAATGGGAAGAAAAAAAAGCTGAACTCACAGACAATGCTAATTAGCAATTAAGTGAAAGACAAATTTCCCAGAGCTATCGGAAAGCTTCGGCGCGCGTCCTCGAGGATTGGCAAGCTGTTCGAAATTCTCACAAAAGGAAGGAAGACGTTTAGATTTTAAACCGAAGGTCCTGCTTTTGAATTCTTGATTACGGAGAGTTAACCACTCTCAAGACATTTCCAGCTGCTCGTTTGGCTCTGGAAGTGTAAATTCATGTCCTCATCAGCTAATATGTAAAGGGAGGATGGCCTCGTCACACCGCCACATCAGAAAAGTCATTGTATAAAAGGAGATTATTGCAGTTTCTTGTTATCTGATGTGTTAGTTTCATGGCCTAAAAAGAAAAACAAAGCTTTACAAGAGACCAGATGCTACCTAAACGCCACCAGACTGGACACAGAGAACTTTATATATGTATGATTTTGATTTTTAATGCACCTTCAATGAAATCAGGCTGGGTCGATTAATTGTTAGATCTCAAAGTGCCCCCCCCCTTCTCCTCCTCCTCCTCCTCCTCTTTGTGCAGGAATGTGGCAGCCACACTGTTCAAAGTCCACCCAGCCCGGAGAGAGCAAGAAGGGGTGGGGTGGTTGGAAGGGTGACGCAAGGAATTTGGGTGGAGTGTGTATATATATCTGTATGAATGTGTGTGTGTGTGTGTGTGTGTGTGTGTGTGTGTGTGTGTGTGTGTGTGTGGGGCAGTGGTGGTGTGGGGAGGGTCATGCACCAAAAAAGAAAAAAAAAAAGTGGTGCTCTTTGTCTCTGGAGACAATAAAGCCACCCCCACCCTCCTCTGCTGCCTTCCTCTTTCAAAGGCAGAACGACCCATCTCCTCTCCTTTTGACCCTCCTCGTGCTTCCTCACCCGACTGCCCCCCCTCCCCGCTACCACCACCTCTCCGCCTCACCTCGCTGCCTTCGCTGTGCGCCCACCTATCTAGCCTCCTTCTCCTTTTCCTCCCACTCGACGACTCGGCGCGTGAGCTGCCAATGTCAGCTGTCTGCTGCTCGTTCGCTTCGCATGGAAGAAGAAAAAAAAAGAAATCCAAGTTTCCGTGTTGTCTGCTCGCTCCCCTCGTCGTGCTCACAACTACGCTCTTTGTTTCCTCTCAGCGCAGGGATGTGAAACGTACACAGAAAACAGGTTTACAGGATAACTACGACTTCAGTTATCCACTCACTCGCTCACTTGATTGATGACTTTAGATTGTTTAGAGGATGTTTTGAGCAGTGAACAAACTGTTAACTGGAAACTGCTCCATCAACACCATCAAAGCAGGGATTAGAATGAGAGAGAGAGCTTTTTTTGCCCCATATTGGCTTCTTTTCATCAGCTCCCTGTTTAATCCAGAGTCCAATTTACACATATCTCCTTCTACTCACATATAAGGTCCTGAATAATCAGGCTTGTCTGAAAGACCCCATAGGACCATATCGCCCTAATAGAGCACTTTGTTCTCAGACTGCAGGTTTACTTGTAGTTCCTAGGAAAAGTATAATGGGAGGCAGAGCCTTCAACTTCCAGGCCCCTCCTCTGTTACGGCTGTTGTAGTTAGGGCTGGATCAGGTAACGCCGAATCCTGCGTTAGTTACACTGCAATAGGCATAGAAGGCATTGAGTGTTCCTTCTCCACTAACCTTTTTCACTCACCATCTGTTTATACACCACTCTGCATTTGTACAAGCACTATGCTTGCTCATAGGGGGGTCATGTGATTGTTGGCTTTTCTCTGTATTATTGTAGGGTCTTTACCTTGCTGTAACAATGTTTTTTGGCAATGAATCTTATACCATTGAAAAGCTTGTTTATTTCTAAAGAACATGTATTTGTGGGTTGAGCAGCAGAGTTGAGAGTATGTGCGCTGCATCCATGAAAAACTAGCCAAATCTTCTCTGCCCTTGCCAATCGTCTTATTCTGCTGCCAACACAACCACACTGGCTGACTTGTGGCAATGCTAGTTGAAGAAAAGGATGTATGAGCGTAACTCACATACTCAACTTTGCTGCTCAACCCATTTTGAATGTGACACCATTAAAACAGATATGAATGGCTTTCCAACATTATAAGATTTATTGTCAAGAAGCATTGTTACACCAAAGAATTAACAGACCAACCACAAATATCTCTAATAATAATAATAATGGAATGCATTTATATAGCGCTTTTCAAGGCACCCAAAGCACTTTACAATTCCACTATAGAGATTGAAAATGTGACGTCATTCAGGGGTAAAACCGCAAAGAATTCTGGGAACTTGTGGCAAGAGGTACTAGCGCACGCAGGCTTTCAATTGAAATCAGTCACACAGCGATAAAAAGAAACACAAAAAAATGTCAAGAAGCTGTTGTATTATTAACTGCAATAGCCGGTCACATGACAGCCACGGGAAGCCGACGGGTAAAGAGATCGGTTGTTATCGGATTACGTCGTTGGAGAGAAATTGTTCGAGCCATGTTTCCGAAGTAACAAAGAGCCGACGGATGGCCTGGATTGCAGCCATTCAAAGACCAAATATAACATCCCAGAACACTCCAGCTCACAGGTTAGTCTGCTCCAAGCATTTACACAAAGGTCAGTCTGCTGTTGTAGTTAATACGTCATTTTTCATAACATAATTGGTGATATAGGTTACAAGCAAGTCTGGCGCTGAACAGAAATTGTCGCGCTATGCTCCTTTGTTTATTGTGCATAAATAGTGAATTGTCCTGACACAACATTGCGTTTCGCTTCTGTTATTATGGTACATTGACAAAAACATATACTTTTATTCACAGGGTAAAACAGTTGTTTTGTATCACTAATTGCCCAGTACGATTACAGCATACAGTATTATTGTCACTGCTACATTTCTGTAATGCGAACCAGAAATTATTTCCACTACTAATTAATTACCGTTGAGCTCAAAGGTCCTATTAATAAACGGTTAACGAATGTGTATTTATGAAGACGATTTGTGAGACTGGTAAACTTATGATACGTACGATGGTCTTTCGTTCTACTCTGTGCATTTCAAGGTCCTGTACCCATCCGTCGGTAAACTGTACCTGGGCTTGTTGCAGTGACCTGAAGTTACTAAACTTCATGAGTGTATGCACTCACTCCAAGAACCGTATAATTATAAATATGAGCGTGGTGAAAGTTGGGCAGCACGCCAACGTATTTTGTCCACTCTGTGTGCTCGTAAGGGTCTGACCCTTTCACTCCTTTGATTTTTTTCCTCGTATCTTTTCTTTGACTTTTCATCAAGTCTGTCTTTGTACGGACCGACATTGTTCTCCTTCGTTTTGTACATTCCTTTTTTGGGGGGCAAAGAAAAAGCAAGAATTTATTGGAACCGAAGAATGAACGTTTTGCGGTGCTGCAAATGCTTGCATTTGATGCGGTACTTGGATTGTTTTGCCACGAGTTCCCGGCATGCAATGCGCGAAAGTCACGTGGTCTGTCAATCTCTATTCATTCACTCTCACATTCACACACTGGTGGAGGCAGCTACGGTTGTAGCCACAGCTGCCCTGGGGCAGACTGACAGAAGCGAGGCTGCCATATCGCGCCATCGGCCCCTCTGACCAACACCAGTAGGCGGTAGGGTAAAGTGTCTTGCCCAAGGACACAACAACCAGGACAGATAGCCTGGGGATCGAACCGGCGACCTTCCGGTTACAGATGCGCTTGCCTGAGCCACGGTCGCCCTACATTTCATACTACCAACATTTGCGATCATTTCTAGTTTTAAGTACATCATATTGTGTGGATTACACAGTCCTTAGTGTTGCCTCAGTATCTTGCATCTTAACCTGTCGTTAAAGTGCTTTTGCTCCTTTACTGAAGTCAAATGAAAAGTACAATCAAATCACAAAATAAAACTCTGACCCCAGACAGACATATAGATCACCAGGTTAAGTAATTTCACCGCAGCATCACTGTTAGGTGTGGCAACCAGGGCAGCACTGCAGAAACAAGCCTGATCTAAAGTTAATCTTCAATACAGAAAGACTGCAAGTCAACATGAAACATGATGTTATGTCAGCACATTACTCACTGACAGGAATACCAATTGTAAACAGATAGGCAATGAGTTATGGAGAGGTGGGCAGTTTATTTGGAGAGAAAGAGGGCCTTCATGATGACTAATTAGTTTGACCTACTGGCACGCATGTGCACTGAATTTACATCATTTTCCAAGAGGTTAGGATTTACGTGCCCAGTTATCGCGGTTTTTAAAGGACAACAAATCAAAGAAAAAGGATATCAGATATTGTGCTGTCACCAAACCAGCAGCTTTGTTACAATGGCAGCAAAAATTACAAAAGGGCTTGTTATTACTTCACTGAATTCTGTTCTACTTGATCTAATAGAAAGGTAATAAAGGAGCAGGGGTGGACTGAAATAATACTTCTCCAACCCCAAACCCCTTAGGCTAACCCTATATCTAATTTTTGGAGGGGCTGTCACAATATTAGAATTTCTGTACCCGTTTAAAAGAAGTTTAAACAAAGACTCTTTGGAAAAAAAACAGCCAACCAAAAAAAAAGAAAAAAAGAAAAATGTTATCAGTAAGGTGCGTCTTGTCTCTTCTTGGCAAATGAATTTAGCTCAAAATAGGAATAAAGGCAGATGTAGAGAGAGTCAGTATCAGAACCAAAACAACTATCACGGTTACCTTCAATAGCAGTAAGCATACACATGACAGCCCTCAGGCTGGAATTTCAAATATAGATACATCCTGAGTTTCTGAAGTTTGCTGTGTGCAGCATCAAAAACTCCCCACGAAGACACCAAACAGGACGTAAAAATCAACAGAGCTAGACACGTAAATACAAAACAACAAAACTACATCTTTTAACCAGAGGAGGATGACTGGTTACTTTTGAGCATCAAGCAAAAAACATAAGAAAACTTCAGAAAAACATTCATTCAACTTTAACTTTTTTACTCTCCGCCTCTGCCCTCCAGCCCTGTGATCCCCATCCACTACACAACAGCTTTCTGTGCGAGCAAGTAAACAATGCGTGTCTTAGCAGAGCGACAGTAGGATACGTGTTTGATGGATGCTGTGACGAGAGCATAGAGTCTACAGGCAAAGCTTACAAAGCGTGGACTCTGAGAGGTGTGTCGGCTCATTTATGCTTTTATAATAATCACCCGACTGACTGCGTGTGTTTGGACTGTGAAAGGAAGCCAGAGCACTCGCAGAGAACCCAAGCCCATCAGATCGGATTCAAACCCAGGACCTTCTTGCTATCAGTCAACAGTGCTAACTACTCTGACACCGTGCCACAATACTGCCCTAAATTAGTATTATGTTCATAAAGAAAACTATTTCCCGTCTACTGTGCAATAATATTGTGCAAGTCAGCACAATGTGACCTGTAATTATGTAACATACTGTATGTACGGAGGACCAAAGCTGCCAAAATCAATATTAAACAAAAACAATAACTGTTCAATATATTAAATAAAAATTTAAATGATTAAAAACAATGTAACATATAATGGTAAGCACTGATTTGTTTATTAAAAGTAACCTAAGTTGTTGTGTAGAATTCATTTTTTTTGCACACATTTTTTTATGTCATATCATCATTTATTCGTATTTTCTGAATCCATTTGAACACAGTGTAGCTTTAGTTACCCTCACACTTCATTTGATTACAGTATACTTCAGTTTATTGTACTATGTTTCATTTCCTCCTGACTTGTGTCTATCTGTACTTTCTTTCTCGTTCCTCTACGAGTTTGCACTTCAGAACGCAAACGAGCGAGCAGCCATTCGGCGTGCCTCGTGTTTAACTTTCTGCCTGTTGCTTGACTGACGCCGCAAATAATAAACAAAGTAGTTGCCTTCAGTCATGAAACTGCTGCTGTTGCAGACGCGAGGTGCTTCGTGCAAACAAAAACAAACACAGAGATTAGAACAAATATAAATAAATAAATGCTGATTAAATGCTAATTAAAAAATAAACATCAATCTTATCTTTTAACATTGCTAGAGCATTTACGGTCATATTACTTAATGTATTGGGTATTTTGTATTTTCTAAAAGGGGTTTGAGACAAACTGGGAAAAGGTCAAAAACGTTAATCAAAACACAAACACACAACAGCTCCTGGCATGGATGAGTAACAGTCTGAGAGCATCTTCAGGCCAGTCTGTGTGCTGCAGACTCTTCTGAGATTCACCGCCTGCCTCGTTTACATTCCTCAGTCCAGACTGTGTTGTTGTGAATCAGAGTCCAGGTGAACTCTGCCGACTTTGCCCAGGGACTCGACTGCAGTTAAAGGGGCGGAGGTCTATTTTGCCTGCTTGCCTGGGCAAATGTCGAGCGTCCGGTCGTGTGGACACAGGGATTGACAGACATTTGCTGTTGTTTAGTGAAAACCGACAGGAACACTTGGGAGGTTAAGACACTGCTGACTAATAACAGTCCAGACAAATGCTAAGTAGTCAGCTTGTACATGACTATTTTAGTGGGGCATTCTTGGCTTTTTACATTACAGAATATGAGAAAATCAGCTGCTCAGAGGCTCACTGAAGAATTTTAGCCACTTCTCTGCAACATATGTAACAATTCTCTCTGCAGTTTTCCACATTTAGACGACGCCATCAATCATCTGGCACATATGGAGAATTTCCAGAATGACAAAGATAGACAGGCAGACAGAAGGCAAATCAAACATATCACCAACCACAAACAGACACCAGCTCCTTTGGGAGAAACGCTGTGTTCCACTGAGACTGAGATCCCCCCCCCCACCTCCATAAATGACAGTTTAAGCAGCGGTGACAGAACCATGCAACGCCAGGCGTGACAGTCAAAAGAGGAAGACTGACATTAAAGAGGAGAGGTCTACCGCTCATCTCAAATTACAAGTATTTTCATTACAGATATTGCGACATATTAAATAAACATTCGCGGTGCCACGTTCCTTCTTAACATCCTGTTTCAACATGGCACATTAAAGAAAGAAAGAGGTTCTAAAATGCTCTGTCACTGCAAAGTAAAACATCTTCCTACCCCCGTTTAAACGCATGATTTAGTCTGCTTCTCATAACAGCCAAAATGCAAAACTACAAGCATTAATAACAGAATTATTGCAGTTTTTGCAGTTTTCAAATTTCCTTTCACTTACTTGGTGAAGGGCTGATAAAAAAATAGGTATGATCCTTATCTTAGTGGAGGGAGGTGGAGGGATGTAAATCAAGATGGCAAGTCAACATGGTGGCTCTACAAAGCAGTGCCTGCTCCTTTGTATTCTTAAAGGTTTAATTCTAAGTTTCTGAGACTGCACCTTTAAATAATATCCTGGATTCAGAGGTTATTTGTGTGGTTTCATGTAAGAACTCAACCTTTGCTTCATGACTGTACAGCTCCTTAAAAAACAAACACAAAAAAAACCAACATAAGACTCTTAGATCCAGTAGAATACATTGGCCAATATTTAGCACGGTGCTAAATTTGAGTATGCAAAGCAAAGTTTTATTTTAATGTTAAGAAAGGTGATGTCATGATTCTTTTGCAAGAGCAAGAAAACAAAATCTCCAAGATTGCACCAAACCTGTGTTAGATCAACACGGGCTATGCAGGCTGGTTATTGCCTCATGTTGAACTACATCACTGGCTCCTGACTGGTTAGACCAACCAGTCTATCCAACCCAAGAACAGTGAATATGGGGTTAAAAAAAGAAGCCTAACCAAAAACTGCAGTTCCTCTCCCCTCGACTCCAGCCTATAGGTTCAAGTTTGGTTTCTATTCCTCATCCAGCTGCACTTTCGAATGTATATATTGTTTTAAGGCACGACGTTTAATGCAGTGGAAATGCATGTTGCAGTGATTGCAGATGCACCTTGCTAACTAAGCCAAACGACAAGTGCAAACATTAGCAAACCCTGTCAGCTGACATTATCACACAGAGCTGTCAATGAGAGAGCTCATGTTGACTGATATACTGTATTTATAAATCTTATTTAGTACAAAGTCTGGATATTTAGGCAACTGAAGACTGAAAGTGGTCTATATGAAACAGACAATTGTTGCTAAAAGCAGAAGCTATACTGCACTGGTGTTGCCCCCTTGGAGCTTATGACTGTACACTCACCAGATCCTTCGGAGCGCCCATCACTGCCTATCAGCGGCACCGTAATGGCTGCTGTGGCGACACCGTCAGTAGGCATGGTGGTGTAGACAACAGGCAGCGACTGCACCACCACAGGGATGGTCTGCAGCTGACCCACCTTGCTGGGCATGGTCACTGAGGGGATTGTATGGATAACGTGGAGAATCTGCTGGCCTCCAGCGCCCTGCGTGGCTAAGATGGATCCTGGAGAGAGGACCTGGAGAGAAAAGAAGCGATGAAAATGAGTGGTTGTAACTCTACTGCGCTTTACACTTCTAAATCCACAGAAGGTAGGAGTTTATAGTTACCATGGAGCCTATCGATTGCACCGCAGAGGGGACAGGTGTGGCTGACAGGCTGGGCTGGGTCACAGCGCTGCTGGGAGCTGGGTTGACTGTGGTGCTCGTTGTCGAAGCGGAGCGAGGTTTGTTGAGCGAAAGGTCAACGGGCTCAGTCTGGTCCTCAGTGGGGCTCGGATGAGGCGAGGAGGGCTCTGTCTTGCACTCCTTCTTCACCTTCAGGTCTTTCGGCTGTGAGCCGTCATCACCTATATCTGCCTGCTAGAGAGAACACGGTGGACAAGAAGATATAAGAAAGGGTTAGAAAGAAAAGGACAAAGCGATAACTCAGCTTCAGCAAACTAAAGTTGACTGGTTTTATTCCAGATTTTACTCTAAACCTGGCAACTTATATCCTCAACATAATTAGATTTTTATTCTCAAAGGAGAGCGATCTGATATATTAATTAGAAGCAGTAATCATAGTTATGTGTAGCATGCCAAAAAAGAAAAATGCTAATGCATGCTGGTTTATTGTTTAAAAAGTCAGCAGGAGCCAAACAACCCACAGTAATGAACACAACAGCAGAGGAAACAGTAGTTAAACAGGGACCTAATATTACACACTGATACAATGGTAGATGCTCATTTTTACTGTTGTTTGGGGCAAAAATCAAAAACAAGTAGCTTAAGAGCCTGAAAGAGAGAACTGAGGCAGTGGCTACATCAAGGCCCATCAAGCTGTAAGATTACTGGAGATTATTCTGAATCGAATCATGCAAAGCTACTCTACTAGAGTCCATGCAAATACAGCGCTGGTTATGAATACAACAGGTGACCTTGAATCTTTGTATCTCTCTCTGCTTTGCAGTCACTCTGTGTGTTACATGGTCATGGCAAAGAACACCATTAATGCATATATTTGTGAGCAGATAAGGTGTAAAATACTGGGGAGGATGGAAGAGAAACACTGCTGGTTGTCATCAGGACCATCATCCAATGTGCAAATAACAAATAACTCAAATAACAAATGCTATCAATTTTTGTGTAAAACATTCACCAAATTTCACCAGGAAAAACCAAAGTGTGCACTTTCATCAATATTCACAAGAGTAGAACAATTCATTCTCCGACTCAAATGCAATGCCAGGATCATATTAGGAAATATGATGGTATACTTTTATCACAGGCTTGATACATAACGAATGATGCTGAGACTCGTGGGTACTGTAGTAGTTAGACGCGTCAGCCATAGGAGAAGAATTTAAAATATAATTAAAAGAAAATTATGGAATGAGAGATGCTTCTGCAACCTCCTCAACCCTTTGGGCATACATCTTTCATGGCCTGACCTCATTCTTCAGTGAATGAAGACAGACAGCGATTGGTTAAGGTTTGCTTTGAAGAAATGCTTCATGCAAAGGAAAATGCTTTCTTATAACAGGCATTGTGGTTTTTCATATTGTCCCTTTGCATCTACAGCAAGCCAGGACTCGGCTGCCATGCAGCTCGAAAGCACAGGGAACAATGGCTGCAGTGTGGTACACTGGGTGGGGGGGCGGAGGAGAAAGTGAGGGAGACAGAAGAGAGGGAAGGGCTGCATGGGTACAGAGAGAGACTGGTACTGTGTGAGAGGGAGAGAGTTAAAAAAAAAAAAAAAGACACAGGAAGAGTGAAAGAGACACGGGAGAACTGGAGCGAGAGGGAGCAGCAGCGAGCCTCCAGTCCGGGAGTTGGCCTCCGTCCAGTTCAGCTGAGCACAGTTTGGCTCTGGGTGAGGAGGAGAGGGTGGAGACTCTGCTACGCCCTTTCATCGGGTCACACAGTTCAGCTGGAGGCTGTGGCAGTGGCATCGGCACAAATATAAGTGGTAAACAACTTTCCCGTCGGTGAGCGTCATGTCCAAATAGCCAGAGTTACAACAGAGCAAACCTGTTGTTCTGCTTTTTCCCCCTTTTTACAGCATTACAGGACACGTGAAGATTTAAAATAGATTAGCGTCTTGATTTTTGTTTGTAGATACGATTTGCAATGGTTAATCCATATCAATGCTCACCTTCTACACTGTGGTCTAATGCAGTGGGCTTGAACAAGCAAAAAAACAAAACAAAGTAATGAGCGAGGAAAGGAAAGGAAAGGAAAGGAAAGGAACATGCCGCACCTGCGTGAAACTCGGCTTAGGTGAGGAGGGATTTAAGGAGCACTTTATAGGCAAATAGGAAAAAGAAAGGAGAGAGAAGATGAGAAGGTAGGACAAAAAAAAGAGAGGAGATGGGCGAAGAGAAGCTGGGCTGTAACGTGATTATACTGAGACGGTCTTTAAAAAAAGGGAAAAAAACTGAAAAGAAAATGAAGTGTGAAAGAAGTGAGGGAGTGGGTGAGGCACAGAACGAGACAGGAGAAAGAGAGAGAAAGAGAGTGGGTGGGAAAGGCCAAGCGTTGCCATGGAAACTGGGAGCCATCAGCTGACTCCATGTTTTTCCACTCGTTCCCCACCCACCACCAACTCCCTTCCATTTCCCTCCCGGTCCACTCGTCTTTCCATTGCTTAGGCCCCGCCTCTCCTCACTCCTTTCTTTTCGCTCTCTCTATCACGACCACACCCCTTTCACCTTTCTCTCTCTCTCTCTCTGTCTGTCACATCCCTCCTCTCCTTCCAGCATCTCTCGCTCTTTACATCAACCACACCCTTGTTTTTCTTCACCACCTCACCCTTTCATCCCTCACTGGCTTCATTTCTACCCACTCGCTCTTTTTTTTCCCCCCTTCTTCTTTTCGATTTTCCTCTCCCCTCCACTTTTCCTCTTTTCACAGCTGCTCAGATTAAACCCACAACTCTGTGCGAAATCCTCAAAAGAAGAGACTGAAAGGCTGAAGTCCAATATAAAAAAAAAAGAGACAGAAAAAGAAAATAAAACCCCCTCCGGATGCCCGCGAGCTCTGATCTCAGAGGAAGGGAGATGGAAGGGAAGAAAGAGGGGCCAAAAAGGAAGAAACACTTTCTATGAAGACAGAGTGATTAGCTTAAGAGCGAGGATGTAAAAGAGCTCTTTCCTCACAATTTAATATCCCGCTCTGCGTCAAAGCGGTGGCTTTGTTTCCCCCAATAAATGTCCTTGATTAAATGTATAAACTATTCTCCTATTTAAAAGTTTTTAAGCCACACTTTGCCATCGGCTTTGGTTTAAGCTCTTGGTGTTTTTACTATAAAAGTCAAAAATGATCTTTCAATCCTTCGGTCAGAAACTGATATTCAGTTGCAGAGAATGCATATTATCGATAATAACACAGCCAGGTTTCATAATACAGCATCAGTATATTATAGTATGGATCAATCACCCAGTAGTATTTTCAAATACCATTGATGTTTGCAAATAGTGAAGAGCTGATAGACTTTTAAAAACAGAAAATCTGAAGGACATCATTTCTACAAGTCAGGATTTCAGGACAGTTTTTCTGAAATGTCTGAAGTTTTTATTTTTTTAAGGGAATGAACAGCAGAAACAGTTTGTGTTTGGACACTGGCACAATTTGAGCTCCGTATGCCACCACAAAAAATTTGTAAAGTATCAATTAAGCCGAAACTGAACACCTCACTTTCAGTTTAAATTCAAAACTGCGATCGAAATAAAATGTTAATGTTTATAAGTGCGTGCAGGAAATGCCCTTCTGCCTGGAGTCTTCCTTCCCTCCCTCAGTAATGCTCCACTGGACTGAGATCAGGAGATTTACTAAGAATCATCTTCCTTCATAAACTTTCGGGCTGCTAAAATCTATTGCGATGGCTGCAAAATTACAAACACCGTGCGACTGTCCGAATATTTCCAGCATGAATTGCATGTAAATATGAATAAATGATGGCTTAAAGAATCTAGGCAGCTTCCTCTAGATCTCTGCACGAGGTCGTTAAAATGACACGATGGCAACAATCTGCTACACAAAGCTGCAAGCCTTTAAAAAGTGAACCCGACATGTCAGAACGATACATGGAAAAACCTTTACTGTAGCAGTGGAGCTCCCCCCCCACACACACACACACACACCCTACACTTCTCAGTTCATCTGCTCCATCATAAAATGGGTCACACAGTGTTCGCCGTGCAATTAATTCATGTGATCTCTAACTTGAATGAAAGTGGGGAGCAGCTGTAGTGGTGAGGAAGCCCGGCAGAGAGAAGAAGATGTAAAATGTCCAGAGGACTTTAATCCCGGCTTCATACAGATCAAATAATGAGCGATTTGCAGCTGCAATGCAGCTCGGCTATAAGTAACCTCATGTGTTCAGAGAGGACACTGCGTGGCGATATTTTTGAGTACACAAGCAGGGAATTATTTACCAACTTGATCAAATGAAAAGCACACTTTCTGGCTGTCTAACAAAGAGCTAACAGGTGACGCTAAACATGAGAGGTAGACTCCTGACAGGCCGATCATGCTCGACTGTCAGCAGCCACATAATTTATTGATGTCAAGTTACATGACAAGTGGGGTAAACTGTGACAGCCCTCTATAACAAAGTCGCACAAAGTCGCACTGAGAAACTGCCTTTGATACAGAGAGCGCATCCTCGCTCAAAGTCACTGTTTTTGCTCCAATTTTATAATCTGGAGAGTTTTTAAGTCGTTTGTAAGTAGTATCAAATATTGGTATCAGCTATCTTGTTGATTGATGTCAGCTTATGAGAAAGTAATAACTCCATATTTAGTGGTTGATATTCGTCGGTTATGTTAGGTGCTTGTTAAAGGTTGAATGTTGCCAACAGCTGACGTTAAAACTTGTTTTTTAAACTAAAGCCATCTCACCTGACAGAAAGAGGGGAAATAACTAAAACCCAATAAACAAAAGAATATGGACTGGTATCAGCACCAACTGTCAGGCTAAATATCACTTTATAACATCGACTGTATAAAAAGGATGTCTGAATAGTAAAGTTACCTTGGCCAGCAGTGTGAAACTAAGTGCAGAAGAAAGCCCATCTATAAAACTGTCTACAAGAAAATGGCCCTCGGGTCGCTGATCTGTGGCCTCAGTAAACACGTTCCTGATGAGTTTATGGTCATTAGTTTTAGTTTCAAGTCATATTTATTACAACACAATGTTCCTTTTTGAATTACGGTCCCCATTAGAGTCAAAAAGGACGATAAAGACGCCGTTTGCTTTACAGCAGGCCCACTTTGTGATTTACAAGCGCTACCACATTGGAGTCAGAGCCCCTTGGTTTTTCAGTCAAATCCACCCATCTTTTTTATACAGTTTATGCTTTAAACACTAGTATCAATATCAGCTTACAAAGACTTTAAGTTCCTGGGTTGTTGTGGAAAATGTTATTTTCCAAATGGTGAAAAAGGAGACCGATGGTGACTTTGTAACACTACCCGTGCTGCACCTGCGCTGGTCATCGGTGGGGAACACGATCTGCTGTGGTGAAAAGAAAACAACAGAACACACAGAGCACACACAGAGGGAAAGAAACAACAAAGCTAGCTCCTCTGAGGCCTCTAAGTCTGATGTTTAAATGTTGTCTTTTTTCTAACAGGAAGAAATCAATAGGTCCCGAGGCGAGACAGACACACGGTGACTGCTTATATACGAGCGGAGAGAACGGAGGACGGAGATGGAAATGGAGGAAAAACAGAAGGAGCGAGCAGAAATTAAGTAAGAGGCATATCTGGCGTGGATTCGTTGTGATTTCCAGTGCCTGTGTGTACAGAATTTATATGTTTAGGCACTTGCAGACAGCCATTTCCATTTGTGTGTGTTTGCACACTTGAGTATATGAAGTGTGAAGTCAGATATGGACATGGAGAGAATAAACAACAGCTGGGGAAGACATTAACCACAGGCACAGCTTTGCAGCTCCACCCCTTAAATCCTTACCCACCCAGTGCAACACCAAGTGCCCCCACCCTGGATTAAAGCACACTCCCTTCTGCTTCTCTCTCTCTGCTTCACCCACCTGTTAGCAGGCTGATACTAGCACAGCTCAGTCTTAGCCACAGTCAGTGTTGACTCTCAGTCTAATGTTACCTATTAGGAGTTGCCGGTGTTGATATCCTGGGTGCTTAGTAACTTGTTCACCTCATACACCTACACAGGACAGCCTGCCTATAAAGCTCGCAGCACAGGTGTGCATAAATGTGCACAGCAAGAAAAATCCAACTTCAGACACGCTCACAGTGTAAACCATGACATCTCGCAGCTTTTTGGTTAAGTCATAAAAGGAAATGTGTGAAGGTGATCAGAGAAACCCAATTAAAAGCCACAATAACTAATTATGCATCTGTTGCAAACAGCATTCGTCTCATAATTAATGCTGCTATTGTACGTGATTTTGCCATGTGTAGGCATAATAAGCTGGTCTTTCTGCTACAGCTGTTGTAAATAAAGCCTCAGAAGTATCATTAGCATTCTACTAGCTTTCCAATTAGCAGGTGCTTCAGTACAAAGATTCAGGTTCATCAAGTCGTATGTCAAGCCACAGAAAATGTTAAGCTTGCATCTCTGATTGAAAACAATCAGACATGAAGGAAAAGTATACTACACAATACTGCGGCATATTAAACCGATCTATTCATAAGAATGTGCAGAATCTGCTGTTTGTAGACTAAATAATTTAGGCATCAGTCACACAGGCTTACAGACCTGTTGGCTACCACTTGACAACCACCAGCTGCAAGGGAAATTCTCCAACCAGTTGAGAGTGTTTGCTGGCAGTCACTGTGCTAAAGCTTCGCTCAGGCAGGCCTACAGACCGGTCAGTAGCTCCTTGACTGCTACTGAAAGGTGTGTATTCCACAACTGGTTGGCAACTGGTTGCTGGCAGTTGCTAGTGTGAAAAGTGGCTGCAAAGCGGTAGAGTCCAGCACTAAAAACCTGGTGATTGCAGTAGTTGCTATGACTGCAACGGGTAGTTTCCCGTAGTTTGCCCGGAAGATGCCGACTTCTGCAAACACTTTGAAATGAAGTAAATGAAGTAAATGGTGTTTGCAGACTGGTTGGCGTCTTCCATGCAAACTGCAGGCATCTGCAGCAATGACAGTATTGACACAGCATCCTCTTTGCAATCAATTTCACCTGATGATGGCCACCAGCAACTTCCAATAAGTTGGGGAATGCGTATTTTTCTCTAATGACAGGAGGTAGCCAGGGTCGTTGTCAACCAGTCTAGGCCTGTGAGAATGAGGCTTTATGTAGAGCAGAAGAGAGACTTCAATGCAGTCTTAACTTTTAAGTTATTGTCTAACATTGATAAAGCTTTTTAAAATTTGATCTGCATTCATAATCTCTGATTTAAGAAAGTCTTGAACCAGAAATCCATTATATGCTACCGAGAGGCTCAGAAATATTAGCTGTTGTCCACAGAGGATAAGTTCTCGACCAGACAGCTCATTCAGAATAAAATATAAGGTGAAGAATATCTCTTTTACCCATATATTGTCATTTCTGGATGTTCATAATAAACTTGTTTCCATTATTTTTGAGTCTTTCATATGAATTAATAAACCGTTCCTCTGAAAACCGCTTTAGTGGAAAGCAGCTAAAAGCGTTCAGTGGCTGTAGCTCTGAAGCAAATGCACGTGCTGCTATCATGGTGCATACCTTTGCTTTCACTTCCAAAGAAGTGTTTACATAACTGGACTTGTTCGAAACCTGTCTGATTGTGCAGGAACGCCCAAAAATGTCTTTCTAGCAACCTTTCCCTGCGTCTTTACAATAACAGCAGAGACTTTCATCATATGCAGACAGTTTTTTTAAGCCTTTACCGATAATCCGTCTTTACAATTCACTTTATTTTTCCAAGTTTCCAACAAGGTTCTCTGTAACTGCAAGAATGTGCCTGAACCAGGTGTGCAAGACACGTTACAGAGATATAAAACCTGACCAGTTCAGCAGAGTCTGACAGAGTTCACGGCCTGTCTCTCCTGACGGCTCGCTATCACTGATAGCTCTACAGCGTTTTTCTTTTAAAGTCGGTAAAGAAAGCATGCAATCTTTTTATGTTACGATCAATATGTTGCAATCGCTACAAACAGAACATTATTACTGAAAATCATTTTGAGCAGGTGCAGCTCAGGAGGTTGGTGGTTCGATCCCTGGCTGTTTAAAAGTATCATTGTGAGACAGACTCAGCTGAGGGTGGGAAAACATAAATTTGCCTGCTTATTTTACTCAAGAATCCAAAACCGAGTCAAGTCCACAACCCATCCAACACTTCTACAACATCACTTTCACAAACGGAAAATCTCAAACATTTTTTGCCTCTCTTGTTTCAGCGGCGAAGACGCTGGCACCCGTGGCACCTCGGCTTAACTCTGGGAAACAGTCTGTTTTTACTGGAAACAGGTGAATATATTTTGCTCTGCTGACACCGCTTTTTACCCCCCTGCGCCCCCTCGCCAGTTTAAATAACATCTAAGTTTGATGTGAAAATATGCGCATCTACAAGCATATTAAAACAATTATCATGTCTCACCCTTCTCTCTGACAGCCCCCCCCCCTTGTCTTCCGGCGCGGCCGTTCAGAGCAGCGATCAACACTTTCAGCTTTAGACACAACCCGCCATCCAAACTATGCCTACGTGAAGCATAACCTACCCTGAAGGCTTGTCACCTAAAGAAGAAGCATGACAAGTTGACAGCGGCGAGATGAGAAACAAGCAGCTTGACCCAGGGCAAGAAGCCCACTATTAATTATACAGGCACTTGCACGCGACAGCCACCTGACACGTCAAAAATTACTTCTACATGTCCACAAGATGTCATTAATTACACCAGCACAAGGGGGGATGCTGTTGAACTAGTGCTAATGACGACAGAGTAATTTAAGAAATCAGCGCCGCCTGCATTACTGAAACGATGTCATTACCTCATCAAGCGTCGCCTTTAGTTTTGGACGTCTGCTGGCTACTCTTTAATCTCAGAGGCACATGCAAAGTATTAAGTTATGTGTGAGAGGCTGCTTGGAACAACTTGGGCAAAATTAAACGTTGTGCATGTCGCCCTGATCGAGGCTGCCTACCAGCGACCTGAAGTTGGTGCGTGCGTTTCATGTCAAACACATAATTTAAAGACTCGGCTCAAGCTGGAGAGGGTACTCTTGATACAAAAATGCTACACAGTGTTAAAGTTGCCATAGCCCATTTCAACTATAGTAACTGTCAGGTTCACACCTTCCTTCTTGGACTCTACTATTCATTATCCTGGGCCTTCTTGCACCAGTGGATCCGTGCATGATGTCTGACACGAGCTCCGCTCACTTTAAGCCAGCTTGCTTCTAATCAGCTGAGCGGCACAAACAGAAGGTTTGAACAGCAGCTGGTTGGAGTTGCTATGGTGTTCACATGGGCAGAGGCTGGCAGTGGGCAGGCTCAGAGTTAAACTTATCTGAACTTTAAAGTTAAAACTGGTCACAACTCTTTTCCTTAATGGTGGGTTTTAACACCTGAGGATAAATCAAAGACGTGGATTGCCGACCATACGAATGATTTCCGGGTTTAACTTGTGATGCAAACCCACCCATATGGAAAAGAAATAGTAAAAACCTATATGATTCACTCATGAAAGTGGCCACTTTCTCATTACTTTCATATATTGTTTTAGGAAGTATCCAAAACATACAAGTTTTATTTTTATAATTTTTCAAGCGATCTTATATCTGTTTTCACTCTTGTATGCTTTTCATACAAGTTTCACACAAGACAGATACAAACTTTATAAGATATATATATATCTTTTCCATATGGGCAGTCATTTTGTTCTATAAGCAGGCTTGAAATGTGACAGAATCCACTCAGTTAAGAAAAAAGTAAAGGGAAGATAAACAAACAATAGTTTGCTGATACTAAAAAACTGATCTCAACTTAGTCTGAGAAGGAGAAAATCTGTGGAAGTCATTTCATATTAATCCCTTTTGTCCCATGCTGCTTTATCTTTTCTAGTAGACTAAGAGGCAGTGTCTTAACTGTTTATTGATGCAGACAGGTAAAAAAAAAATAGAAATCTGGCTGCTGCTGCTCCTGTAACTCACAGGAAAGCTGAACCCCCTCCGACGACCTCGCCAGGATGTGCTGCGATTTGACGCACAGACAACATGATTTACTGCGACTATACTGAACCCCAGCCAATCCACTTAATGACCTACATGTTTCCAGATAACTTTAGACTAACATAGAGCTTCCTCTCCCAGTCATGTATTTGCTTCCCGGAAGCTCTGCACTGTAGGAAGTGGGCTGCCAACAATGACATCATCATCCTGCACCAGCAGAGGTGACTGCATCTGCACTGAACTGCAACCCCTCCTGTTTCTCTCTCTCTCTGCATCCCAAATTTTGAATGTGCTGCCCTTTGAATGGACTGAATGCTCCAACATAGATGCGCACACGCACGCACGCACGCACGCACACACACACGCACGCACGCACGCACGCACGCACACACACACACACACACACACACACACACACGCACGCACACACACACACACACACAATGATTGCTAACTAACTCATGCTACCAAAGCCCTGCTGGCAAAAGCACAGTAAATCGGCCTCTCTAACCTCTCATGTCTCTTGCTCTCACACACACAAACGCACAGGGAGTAATAGAAAGTGTGTGCGTGTCTGTGTGTATGTGTGTGTGATGTGGTCTCTTTGTGCATGAGTGCTCCTGTTTGCTGGAGGACAACTGACTTGTTTATGTGAATACATCAGTGTGACACACACGCATGCACAGAGGGCCTCATTGTTTGTTTGTGTGTCTGTGTGTGCGTGCGTGTGAGAGAGAGAGCGATTACAGGGCTATTCACTGTGCTGTGCTGGCAGGTATTCAGTGTGTGTTTGCACGTGTATGTGTGTGTGTGTGTGTGTGTGTGTGTGTGTGCGTGCATGCGTGCTCCCCTTTGGCATAAGTGGTGATTTAGAAAAAGAGAGAGATTGAGGAGGGGGCAGGGGAAAGATGGAGAGAGAAGCACTGGTTGGAAAGGTGGAGGAGAAAAGAGGAGGAGAAGGAGTGAGGATTGGTGGTGGTGATGGCGGGGGGGTCAGGCTGCACAGTCTTTTCGGCAACTCCCGCCAGAGCCGTGGTTGCCATGGCGACGGGGTGAGCGGAAGCAGTGCCTCCCTCGACATATCCTATTAGGATGAGAGAGTGAGAAAGGGAGAGAAGAAGAGCTTGGGTCGGGAGACTGAAAGAGAAAGCAGAAGAAGAAGAATGGCGGGAAAAGAAAAAGAGAGATGAGGGGAGATAAAAGTGCGCGATTGTGTGTGTGTGTGTGTGTGTGTGTGTGTGTGTGTGTGTGTGTGTGTGTGTGTGTGTGTGTGTGTGTGTGTGTGTGTGTGTGTGTGTTTGTTCTGGGGAAAAAACGAAAAACAGGAACAGCAACTAAAAGAAAACTTTCACTGGAAAGCTAAATCTAGGCCGCTGAATGAACTTTGACCCATTCTGTCACTCTGACAAACACTAGTTAACTCATATGAGCTCGCCATATTGTTTAATCATCTTGCTGTTCACTCCTCTTGCCCCCAACATTTCACTGTCTCCTCATCTCTTCTGAAAATTTACTGCCAAGTTGCTTTTGAGTAACGCAGGATTTATGAACCCGCAGTGGTTTCCATTTGCGTAGCACTTTGGCCACGCAGAGATTGTGGGAATTTAACCAACACAGAGGCTTCACAAACTCTCAAAAGCCAGAGGCGGGTGGCTCTGCAGCGATTACGCCATATCTAGGTCTTATCCTGATAGGTTAACAAGGCGGCTTCAACAGAAAAGGGAAGATCAACAAAGAGGAAGGGAAAAAAATAGCACAAAATGAGATGCGGAAGCAAAGGCCACAGAGGAGATTTTCAAAGTAAATTTAACCCCGCTTCTACCTCACTGTGATGAAAAACAGCACTTACAAGAACAAGTGTAGCCCGCATATTCATACGCATATTTCTGACACTGACTGTATACAGCTATGCAGACGTGGTTCTGGAAAGCTCTGCGTACCACCTACGGACTACCAACGCAGCACCATGCCGAGCCCTCACCCACTGCTGATTATACAGTGGGCATCTTCAGGTTGTCATTAGATTACATTTATTCCTGACTGATTGCCAAAAACTATTCATTGTTTTCTCCTGCTTTGGAATCTTCTAACTACAAACTGTTGAAGTTTGCATGATGGAAGAAACAACAGAGAGAACAAGCATAAAAACTAGACTGACTTGAAGAATCCTTTGGATAATCCTCAAAGTTTCTCAGTTGAGTAAAAGAGAAAAAAAAGGGCTAGTAGTGGAGTCTCTTCCCCAACTTTCCATCCACTTCTGATGGAATTTGGCTAGTACGAGTTGAAGCAAGTGTAAAATTTCACATCTCACATCACCTCCATTTGACCTTTTGATGTCTATTTTGACCTTGGACCCGATGTTCCTGTTAGCAGAGGAAAATATGCTTTTTTAAAGCATTAAAACATCCCACAAACGCTCGTTTTAATCGTTTTTCTCAGTATATGCTGTTAAAAGTAGCATGACTCAGTGAAACACGTATAACCTTCGTATTTCCTCTGTTGGTTTCCTGCACTACTAACTCATTAAATAAGCTTAGCTGCTGAGACATCCGTGCACATGCATGCAGCCAAGTTACCAACGTCATGTCATAATGTTCTGGGTAACTGATGAAAATAACATCCCACCTCAGCAAGCCAGGTTCTAAATAAATTCAGCAGAGCTGTATCTGTGAACTGCTATGGTTTTTTAAAGGATCATCCATCTTCTCTGTATAAAACTTTAAATGTTTAAATTATCATAGTGAGGAAAAGAGAAATTTGACCATAAACAGATAAGAATACAAGCTGGCAAATATGTAAACAATGCAGGCAGGTGTAACATGTCAACAAGTTAAATACTTTGGAAACAGTAACCAATCAGCTCATTTAATTTGTCAAAATCCTAAACAAACAGCAAGTTTTATCTCTGAAGCAGACATCTGCACACGTCTGAAAGGTCGTTCACCACTGAAATCTGTTAAATAGGCTTTAAAAGTTGTTTTTACTATTTTCTGGAATTCTATAGATGAAATAATTCTAATAGATAATAATCCGAATAATAAAAACTGAATAAACACAGTCCTTAGTTGCAGCTCTATCACAACAAGTTGTCTTATTTTTAAAACTCTGGGCTAGAACCATACAACTTTAATACAGTCTTATGGTAAATAAAGTTTGCTTTGCACGTCTTCTAGAGTGGACCTGACATTTCTTATTTCTGTCTGAGTAACCACTTTATGTGCTGGTCTCACATACAAGCAGTCAAGCAGCAAAAAGCGCAGTATGATCCACAGACCATAATATTTCATATTTCCTGAGGTTCAAATAAAGATTGTCATCTGTTTCTGATGAATAATTTGTTGCATCTGACAGCTTGTTTAGATATAACTTGTCAAAGTCCTCCATTGCTACTGCTCGTACTCCTATATTCACATTTTCCCCTTGATTTCATGCCTTCACTCACTAGGATTTGTGTTGTCTTGTTGAGACAAACATATAACAATCTACAACATATAACAATCATCATTCAGAGTCCAGACTGAATTAGTATTTGGAGGGGAAAAAATGCATCCTGTTCAAACAAAGGGTTAGCAAATAATCATCTTGACAGGGTTACTGTTTGCAGCACAAATGAGTTAGAACAAAGGGTACAATAACGATAATAATAATAATAATAACAGTCTTAACTTGAGTAAATATGAGGCATGTAGCATTAATGTTTTAGGCTCCCAGTGGAGTTTTATAGCAGGAGGATCTGCTTCCTGGAGACTTTATCTTTGGACAGGAAAGTCCACTCCCCTCTGTTGGAGACAGCCACAGAGGTGTGGCCAGCACACACTCACACACACACACTCTCTGCTTAATGATGTCTTGCGCAATACTACTCCACCCAGCCCCCACCCTTCACTAACCCAAACCACACCACAACAATGCACACATATACACACTCCTTCTCCCAGGCCTCACATGTGAACGTAATTAAGCTCTGAAATACAAGATGTTTCCTTAAAAGTAAATAAATCAGTCTATCGGGTTCGCCTTGATGTTACACTTTCTGAAAATTTTCCTGCAATTGGTTCTGGTATTTAGCCAAAAAATAATCAGCTGAGGCAAGCACCAAAATATGATCCTGGCATTGCTAATAAACATTTAAAGTTGCCTTTGCTCTTCAAGCAAAGAACGCGCCATTCTGCACTCAAATCCTCCAGACTCACACTGTTCTGCTAGCACATTTTACTATAATGTACATATATGTATTAACATAAACTAAGTTTTAATAGGTTTTTATGATTATTTAATTGCGTCCGTGCATATGAACTACACATATAAAAAGGCCCAAGTACGGAGCCTTGAGGAGCTCCAAACTCATTTGCAGGGCGGGACAAACTCATTTCTGTTAAGGAGATAAATGCACAACTATAACATCATAAACTGATCTTGTGAAAGCTATAAATGGAAATAAACAGAAGGATTTTACTACGTCAGTAACTGAGATGAACTAAAAACCCAGACATCGTAGACATGTAACTGGTTTTTCAG